TTTAAAGAAGAAGATGCAACGAAGGAATGTTTGTCACCAAGGAAAGGAAAGGCAAGATTAATAACCATCTCATTTTGAACATACAAGTCACGATTTTGACGCCTGATAGCAACGGCTTCAGAAGACTGGAGTTTAACTGTCTTTCACTTGTTCTGAGGCTTTCTGGGACATGTTCAACAAATCTAAGATATGCGGTCCTTTCTGTTTGGCCAATGTAGCTGCTTTGGCAGGTACACGTAAATTTATAAATAAAGTTGGCGATAACATGTATGTATCATATACTTATTATGTAACTACATTATATATGTTCATATTTCTTTTATAATACCTTTCATTTGACCTATTCACTATTGCCATACGATTTATTTCTCTTAATTTATTCTCATTGTTTAATTTACAGTCCCCCCTACTTACAACCACTTTTAGCTTGAACTTGAATAGTTGTTACTTTGAACTTTATGGTATGATGCAGTTTGGTTTGTTTGTATATGAACTAAGTATGTTTGAAATATAATATCCATACGATAGGTGCCGATTATTTTGTTCTGAACTCAACGAGTAGGGCAAAGGGTGCAGCTACTAAATCGAGTTGACTAAATGCTACGACTGTTGGTCAGTGTGTCATTGATTCCCTCAGAGACAAGCTTATAGTGATCAGTATTCTGGTTGGCAGTTCTGTCACGTGCAATTTAACAGGGCCATAAATCATAACAATTCCGCTTTACACAATGACATCTTAGGAATTCTCTCCCATACAACCATGAATGAGTAAGACAATAATACACGGGAATTACTATGGAAATTTATTATCTATACTTTGATGAATATAAGGAATAATTTTAGCCGAACAGTATCACACTACCTTCTTTATTTATGCAAATGATCATGTTTAAAAGAGAAACATTGAAGTATAAATTGATGTTCATTCTTTTCCATTAGATGTGATAGTAGCATTGCATATACTTGAGTCTGTACTCATTTAAATTTATTAGGCAATTCCGTAACAATTCACTTATATGTTCACGTGATTAGCTCTACGTTTCTATGATCATGTATCCTTGATCACATGTTACATCCTACATATATATTCTCCTTACTAGTCTAAATGCTAATTGCCTGGATTCACTGGACGACTCATTGCTTAGTTATATAGATGTTCTTCTTAATTCCTATTCATTCATCCATTCGTATTCGCTATTTGTATTAGTGTTTTCCTAGTGTGCTTGGTATCTTTATCTTCCGGAATTTATACACCATTAGGAGTTATCTAAAAACAGTTTTCAGTATGAGTGATATACGAAGCATTCGAATTGTTTAAATGAGAATCCACTATAACGTAGTCGTTTGCTCTTATTGATCATCCATTGCAGTAAGCAGTATAGTAGCGCTAATCAAAACTTCGACTTAGTGACATTGTCATAGGAGTGCAATTAGTATTTTTGGAGATAAATAATTAAATCAAAGAATATATGCTTCCAGGTTTTCAATGGTGGTTTAACATCAATCGGTTCATGATCTCAGTCAAAAACTTAAGTCTCCACAACCCTTAAACTGATAATATAACAGTAATTGATGCTATTAGTGTGAAATTCTTAGTTCTATAGTAGATTAGCGATAGGCTTAGTGATGTAGATTTTAAACTTGATTAATTAGTAACTTTTATCTCGAAATTGCAGATACGTGCTACTTACTGTTATAAATTGTGCCCTGTGTACCTAGTAATGTATAACGTAATGATACCGACAATTAGAGAACAGTGACTTATCGACTACTCAACCAATGACACAAAAAGCCTGTACGAGCAGTCTAGAGTCTTTATCGTTCCTATTAAGTTCAGAAAACCAATCTCAACCACCCCTATTTGAATCATTCATTTCAAACATACTGGCTTTATATACCACCAGCCAGACAAACCACATCGTACCAATAAAATATGAAACAACATTTGTACAAGAATTAGCCAAATGTGGCTATGAATGTGGGAGACTGTAATTGATATACAGGGTGTAATTCAAGAATGGTAAATCGTATAATAACAGTTCATAGGTCAAAGAGCGGCCTATGCTCCTTCACGAGGAGTAACAGGCGTAAGTAATTGGTCAAAACAAAGTTAATGATAAGAGGAACGCGAATATGAATAGTTTAATTACTTAACAATTATACAATAGAAACTACATGTATCGTATTAGTCCAGAAATAGATTCCAAAAGTTACCATTCATTATTCCCATCGAGACACACCATTTACTAGTCTAACTATTCAGTTAATTGTTCTTTGTCAATTACTTTCAACCATATAATCCATAAGCCTTCATGTCTGTGTACAAGATCTTTTTTGTAAGTCTTGATAATGAAGTGTTTAATGAAAGCACTTACTTAACATCAACACAGAATATAATAGTGCTAGCTGGAAAATTAATTGTATGTTATGGTTATAATCGTGGAAATAATGGGGAGAGATTCTCTTTCAGTTTTACAGCTTCAGATTTATATTTTGATTGAAAATAAAAACTACATGTAATTTGTTTTGTTTTTTTTTCTGAAGAATCTTTTATGAACTTTCAACTTGGAGCTGATAACTGATTTATCAGACAAGCTTGGATAGATTACCTGGTATTTCATTCTCGTATGGTAGATGAGAGATCTAGGTAAAAGAAGATAACTTCTTAAGGACTCTTAGTCTTTTTACTTAATATAGTTGGTTTACGTGGCATTACAATTTATTATTCATCCAATCAAGAAAATAGCCCTCAAATGCCCTGGTACGGCCGAGAGTGGGGAGAGTTCGCCCTCCCTCTCGAAATGCTCTCACATGGCCACGCGTATACAGCCTCTGCCAGGGAAATCCTACTCATTGCCTTCTCGTAGTGGGGGTGTTGCTTACGAAAATGAGAGGACGAAAAGCAAATGTCCGGTGCTAAAACCGGATTCCAAACCAATGGTACACATAGGCTCCAGTATGCTGAAAGAACAAATGGCGTATGAACCAATTGTTGGTCATCGGCTTCCATGGGACTGCATCTCCTTACGATGCTCCACTGCCTTATGGATCAGACCTTCAGGTCAAAGGCTCGGGGTATGGCCCGTAAGGAAATCACCTGCTTTGGTTTGGACACCCGGGCAGTATCACAGCTCTCACACATATCGAATGAGATTTGTGTGGCTCATATGTATTTGGTGCCTCCTTGTACCAATATCTATGTGTTAAAATAATAATAATCAAGAAAACAACTGATTGACTTTTTTGAATATTCGACTAGATGGTCGACAGATTTTGAACAGTTACTCATCGATAATATTATCATAATTATCAATGTAGTTCTCTTGCAAGCAATGAAATTTCATAGATAAGCAGTTACTCAAATATCAATTTCAATATGATATCATCAGTGGAGTTCAACCGGGTCAGTTTTGAGATAGTAACTCACTGATGACAATAGTGGGTGTGTCGCTGAATTTCGTGGATTAGTTGAAATTAGACATTAACACCGCTGGATACCGACCAACTCAATGGTCTAATGGTTAAGCTCTCGCGCGCAAGACTGATAGGTCCTGGCTTCAAGTCCCGCGAGGTGGGGCCGTGAACACGCACTGCTGAACAGTCTCACAACAGGACGAAACAGCCATCCAGTGTTCGCAGGTACTGTGTGGTAGTCTAGCCTCAGTTGACTCATGATCTCAACTATTGAAATTACTACAATCTCCACAAAATCTCTTCTGACACATAGTGATATATCAGAAAATAAAATGAGATTATACCGTTAAGTATATTGGAATTCCAAGTATCAGATGAAAATGGTGTTTTGGTCTAAAAGTTATGAAGAAACAGTATAATGAAAATTGTTTAAGGGTCGAAAATTTGAATGATAATCATACACTTGATAAACATGAAAAAAACTAAGGAAAAAATGCACGGTGATAATAATAACTGACTGCTGAGTAAGAAAAACAGAAAAAAGGGTGGTGTGGATATGCTGGAATGAGTAATTCTATGTGCTGATTTTGCCTGAATAGTTCTGACTTAAACCTTTGAATTGTTAAATTGTCTACAGTAGTCAAGTTTGTTATTCGTACATCCTATGAGTTCACTCATTTGACTGTTGATAATTTTGGAAGATAAATATTATTATTTCCTTTTAATCTTTTAAGACCGTTACGCAACGTGGTCTAAGCCATTTCGATAGATGCAGACTATTTGGTTAGGGTCCACGTCACTATCGTAACCAATGGACCGATGCACATATTTGCCTGGTTCTAAATTGTAGCTGACTGACTGTTTCTTAACCTTCTTGTAGTACTTCAAGTATTCGAAAATTTTATAATGTGATCTATTTTTGATTTCCAATAAACTGTTCACTATATGAACAATTGTACTTCATTAATGAATAGTATCAGTGAAAAGAAAACTTTCTTTCTCAAACCGTCTCTATTTCTTCTTCATTAACAATAATGAACCTCATTGTAAATTATTTATTATTTATAGATACCCTAGAAAGTACTTTAAAAAATTATTGTACTGCAAATATCCTGCGCTTTAACCGGGTTGGTGGACATGGAGAGTCTACCTGGGGGAGTTGGAAAACCCTAATTCCAAACCATTAGTGCATATGAGGTTCAGGATTCTGAAGGAACAAATGGCGTATGAACCAATCGTAGGTCACCGGCTACCATGGGACTGAATCTCCTTACGATGCTACACTGCCTTGTGGAGCAGACCTTTAAGTTGAAGGCTCCGGATGTGTCCCTTCAAGAAAACCACCTGCTTCGGCTTAAGCACCCAGGCAGTATCCCATCCCTCAAACAAATCTAATGAGATTTGTGTGGCGCATATATATCTGGTGCCCCCTTGTACCAATACCTATGTGTTCAAACAAACAAACAAAACACTGTTTAACTTCATACAAGAATTATGTGTTCAATGTAAACTTATGCAGTGATATAATCAGTTCGACATGACTATGAATAAACAAATTCATCGAAAATGATTATGGAAATGAGAAAAGAAGAAGAAGAAGAAGAAGAAAACGTCACAGTCAGTTCGTCAGCTCTTCCGTACAAAGAGTCGAACCTAGGCCACTTTAGATGAAAAAAAAGTATTTTTATCGTGAAAGTTTTTGAATTTCTTGTGTTAAACTATTAATCTCATCATTTTGTAATTTAACTAATTGTGAAAGTTGTTTTAATTGTTTTGAATCAACAATTCCTAATGAACTTTGAATTGTTCCAATCTAAAAAAGAAAATTGAAGAAAAAAACAAAGAAAGATTATAACAATCATAATAAACAATAATGATACTTTTTCAATGATCAATATGGATACAAGAAAAAATTAGGGGCGTGGTGAATTGATTAAATAAAGCTTTAATAGATAGTGTGTTTTTGTATCCATAGTTCTCTTTATTATGATCAACAGAGAGAGAGTAAGAATGAAAATTGGTGCAGAATAATAAATGGACTCATTACGTTAGATACTTATCAGCTATTTACAATCGATCAGATTTTAAAATCAATATTATTACAGATATTGACATCTTGATAGTAATTACGAAGGTGATTGGAGATGAATCGATAAGTATTATGATGTAGGATATAGATCAGACATCTGATCATTATCATTTAGGCATATTTCAAAAGATTAGAGTTTGATTATTTCTTAATCATCATGATTGACCTCAGTGTATCGATTTGATATCCTGTGTATGCAAACAGAAGGAGTAATAAATCTTTCTTTGCCCTGATAACATTACAACCCCCCTCTTCTTTATTTATTACGTCATTCATTATTTCAATTCTTTCTGAAGTTTAAAATTACATCATCATCATTTTCTTCAATCCATTCTGATAATAATCACCAGTTCACTAGTGATTGACTTCAGGAGATACTCCTGGAGTTCTAGTGAGAAGTTGTTTCCAGTGGAGTTCAACCAGGTCTGTTGTGAGATATCAGCTCACTGAAGACAATGGTGTACGGTGGCGCAACTTCGTGGATTGGTTGAAGTTAGACATTAACACTGTCGATTGCCGGCCGGCTCAGTGGTCTAGTTGGTTTAGCGCCTGGTGCGAGACTGATAGGTCCTGGTTTCGAATCTCGTGGGGTGCGGGATCTTGGATGCGCACTGTTGAGGAGTCCCATACTAGGACGAAACGGCGGTTCAGTGCTTCCAGGTTTTCCATGGTGGTCTAGCTTCAATTGACTTATGATTTCAACCAGTGACATATCTTTCTTTTTATTGTCATTAATCTATCTTCAGTTAGTCCATTACATAATCATCTAATGTTTGTTAACTCTATGAGTTCTAATCACTCTTTCAATGTTCTGGAAGTTTCCCTCTCAAACTTTATTCATTTATCCAAAACAAACAATTTTTAATGACCCTAATGAACTTTATTGAAATCTTCACTACATCATAATTCATATAGATTCATTTCTAATCACCTTCGTATTTATTATAAAGATGTCAATATCTGTAATAATATTGATTTTCAAATCTGATCGATTGTAAACAACTGATGAGAACCTAACGAAATACAATGAATCCATTCATCACCTAACTTCATTTTGTTCTGTTTAAGATAGTTTTTAGATGATTATATGGAAATGAGATATTTTGGCAGCGTTTTTATCAATGAACTTATTTACTATTTATGTTCATCTTTAGATTGTTGCCAAGTCTAAATTTATATATCAGACTTATATCAAAAAGAGATTCTAATTCAGAATATACGGGGATTCGTTATTAATGATACGTCGTGAATTTGCATGACATGTATTATGACGATGTGGTTTTTTGTTGGGGAGATCCAGAAAACTCCTCTAAAAAAAGCCAAGAAGGGCTCTGAGAACACTGAGAAGCATCTTATTAAATCAACGTTCATTAGAAACATGAAGGAAGTGAGAAGTCACATGTAGAGTTTCTGATTGGATGATTACTTATACTACTACTATGTTTTGTAAAATTCCAGAATTTTTGGGGGACCCAAGGACATTTAAAATACTATAAAAACCCTAGATTTTGTTGTAAATAAAAGAAAACTTTGGAGTAAAATGTTTCTTACATATTTCACGCCTTTTCTCTTGTGTTCAAGTCGCTGTGTAGTTCTAGCCTGAAGGTTACTAGAAGAGTTTAGGAAGCAAATCTAGCGTTCAGTTGAATAATTATACAAAGTACTCTATTGACTTGTCAATATTTTGATTGACAATGAGTGAAAACTTCTGAATGGGAAGTCGATAGCTTACCATATACAGTAGTATTTGAAGTAGGCAACTCATAACCGGTTAAGCAATAAAATAAAGTAGATGTTTTAATCAAGAACAAACATCAATTGAAGAGTTGCTGAAGATTAATAAGCATTAAACAAATATCTTGGTCTATTTTCGAAATCATCAACTAAAGAGAATTTTCAATATTGATATATAACGAAGAGGATACGGAGATAGTTATGACGTTTGGAACCATTACATATGCAAATTATTGTATATATTTTTATGATGGTGCTATATCGAGATAAACACTAGGCAAAAATAGGACTTTCGAAGTTAATATTTAAAGCTTTGTCGTATAATTAATGATTACTTAAATTATAATAACTCCACGTGAAGCCCCTCTGGGGCTACTGCCGGTCCTAACCCCGGATAAAGGAGGAGGGTTGGGCACGGGGTTAGCGACACCATCCCATAGAAAAAGAACTCGCTAAAAAAACGCTAACCAGGAAAAGAATATTCAAACTATTCATAGTCTGCCCTGGGTATCAAAAGGTCTTCATTTAGAAGAGTTATGACGCCTCGTGGCGAAAGCCGAGTTCCTTCGGAATTCACGAGACTGATGCCTCTTCCGACAACCAAAGCAACTATTTATTTAGGTATATGGAATGCTCGTACAATGTGGGAGACCGGAAGAGTCTTCCAAATTGCTGCAATTGCTAAATTATCATAGTCTTGTATTCTTCTACCTGTAATCTTTTCTTTGACGCGGAATTGATCGTTGTATGTTTTACCTTTCCTAAATTATTGTTAATTTATTATGGTTCCATCATTCAGTTCTATTTCACTTATGACACAGTTACCCCCTCTCATTCCATTGTAATTTCTTAATTCTGTTAATGTTTGATCAGGAATTTGCTCTATATTATTGTGTGATTAATGATTCACAACTTTGAATTGTATAGTTAGAAGTTGTTTGCTTGCTGATTTGTTCTCCGTTCGGTCTATCTGGTGAGTGAGAGTCGGAAATAGCATTTTGGACAAATAGTCATTTAGTGTTACTCTATGCTATTATCTCACATTTTTCGTCGAATTAGTTTACCGAAGGCCATTAATACTACACAGACAATCTGGATGGGCTAATCACTAGTCAGACTAGATAAATACAACTCTTCTCCTATCTTAAGGTATAATCTTACGGGCCCCAAATAATCAAACAGTAAAATCTGTTTATTTTTGCGGACATAAAATGATAATTGGATTGTTGCGTTTTTTATTCTGAGCATTGTAAGCTATCGGCTGACCCATAAATTATGGTTATACTCTCTTCATTTGTTATTGATCTATTACTCCTTTTCTACTTCATCTAGGGCATAGTTATGCGTATACCGTAATTTGTTTATTGTTACTACATAGTCAGGAATATACCCAATACCTGTGTGATCGATAATAAAATCTGCACACTAGAAATCTTAGCTTCTCGTTATGTTTTCTCATTGGATTGAAGACTGAGAGTACAGAAGAAAGTGTGCCAAAATTAGCTCATCACTACTCGAAGTTAATATTTAGTGAGCGAAGCGTTATATTGTGATGGAGCTGAAATGTTTGGTCGTGGTCGTAATATAAAACTTATTATTTATATTTAACTAACTAATTCTTCAAGAGGTATCATCAGTAACAGCCTACTGTAGGAGAGAACAAACCAGCTTCTACCTAAAGAACAAATTAAGAAAAGACATTGGAAGTGGATAAGACATACATTATGGAAATCATCAAATTGCATCACGAGGTAAGCCCTAACTTTTAATCCTGAAGGGAAACGGAAAAATGGAAAGCCAAAGAACACACTACATCAGCAATTGAAAGTAAACATGAAAAGGATAAATAACAACCGGAAAGAACTGAAAAGGATTGCTCAGGACAGGGCTGGATGGAAAGTGATGGTTGGTGGCCTATGCTTCTCCATGAGGGGTAGTAACAGGCTTAAGTAATTCTCCAATAACCATGTTTTTTTCTTCTTAAACACATAAATATTGTCTATAAACAAACACAATCAATGTTCACTTACTTTTGCACCATTTGCTTGATTCAAATCATTTTGTAATTGTTGATTTTCATTGAAAAGTGTTAATAATTTTGTTAAATAAACCGTATTTTGACGTATTTGTCCCATACATGAATCTCTTGCATCACGTATTTTAGCCTTCATTTATTAGATTTAACCAAATTGATTAGAATAAGAATCATAGAAGAAAACAAACAAACAAATTATTATCAATGTTCAGCGAATTCAATAAATAAAGTATCATAATTTTACTAGTATAGGGGTTGTGGAGATTGTTAAGTTTTTTTGATTGAAATCGTGAACCGATTGATGTTAGACCACCGTTGGAAACCTTGAAGCACTGAAATGCCGTTTTGTCCTATTGTGGGACACCTCAAGAGTGTGCATCCACGATCCCGCTCACGGGATTCGAACCTAGGGCCTTCGGTTTCACGCGTGAACGCTTAACCTAATGGACCACTCAGACGGCGTCCAATGGTGAGAGTGTCTAACATCAACCAATCGACGAAATTGCGCCACCATCTTCCATTGTACTGAGGTAGATACCTGTCTTTACCCGACACGGATTAGATCCACTGATCACGGCTTCACACTAGAACTCCGAGAATTTTCTCACGAAGCTAGTCACTAGTGAGCACATATCAATTATCAGTATTGGAGTTGTGGAGATTGTTAATTTTTTTGATTGAGATCATGAACCGATTGATGTTAGATATGTTTATCCTTTTCAGTATTGAAAATCCACGTGAAGCTGTGATCAATGGATTATGACTAAGTAGGATGAAAGTCATTCATCCTGTTATAGGGATTAGAAGGTGGTTGAGAAATATCATGAACTGATTGAAGCTAGGAAATATGAACTATTGGATCCAAATTAATTGAACAACAAAAGATTTGAAGGTTGTAAGTTCAGTCCTTAGTAAAATTGTAAATGAGCAATGCTGAGGAGCCTCATATTAGAATGAAACTGTTGTCTAATGCCCCAGGGTTTTCAACAGTTGTCTGATTGAAGTTAATTCATGACGTACACTATAACATTCAGCGGTTTCGACAAATCCCTGACACTTTATTCGCAAGAATGTAAGAATTCCTGATAAAAACATAAATAGCTAATTGTCTGTTATAGTTTTGTAGAAATTATTTTACATTAGGATCAGTAGCCGTTAAGGATTAAATCTGAAACCATTACACAACAATATCTACTATACATCTGTTTCATCTTTGTATGGGACTACATAACTGTCCCCAAATGCCCTAGTGCGGCCGACACTAAGGAGAGTCAGCTCTTCCTCTCAAAATGATCGCACATGGCCACGTGCATATAACCACTATCAGAGATATCCTACTCATTGCCTTCTCACGCCACAGTTGTTGTTTAAGAGATTGAGAGGATGAAACGCGAATGTCCAGCGCTTTAACCGGGTTGGTGAGTATGGAGGATCCACCTAGGGAAATTGGAAAATCCTGTTTCAATCCCAACTCCTGAAATAGCATTCGATTCACGTTCTATCGACGAGTCCTACACTAAGATGAAAAGAATATTCAATGCTTCTTGATTGTTCCTGGAACTCAGAATGTAATAATTATCATCTAGAATAATTTATAATTGAAAGAAAAAAACAACTGTTAGCGGGACATAGACTAGATTAAAGCATGCTCAATGCATGATTGTTTTGGTGCACGCTGATTGGCTGATTCTTATCCAATCAGCATTAGTCGATAGTCGGAGAATACTCTGGAATCTTCTTATGTAAAAACTATAAATATACCGACGTTTTCCCCTATTGTGCTTCCTACTGGCTTCTGACTTGCTATTTGGAATATATTCTTTTTCCTGTTCAACCGTGTTCTGATTTGGGGACTTGTCGAGTGAATCGGTGTCCGAGAATACTAAGCAATAGGAATAGCTGGGTCATTAACCGTAAGAAGAAACAGATTTATAACAACAACAAATACCAACCTCTATATTCGCTTCTTCTTTTGTGAATTCCTCTTGTAGTGCCAACATTTTTGTTGTTAAATCTTCTAGTTTAGGATTTACTATAACATTTTCCATTTTTTCAATATCATCTATTCTACCAAATTTATCATTCATTTCTTTATCACATAAAGCTGATAATTTCTCTATTTCTTTCTATTGTGGAGAAAATCAAGTTTATTAGAAAGTTATACAATGAATAGTAATAATAATTCTATTTAGGAAACATATATTTCCTTTCTAACAGATAATGTGGTGTATACTACTTATGTCGATATAAGTAGTATATAACATGAGCCAGGAATAGGATATATCTGGTAGCAGAAGATTGAGAAGATCAAGAAGAAATAAAAAGAAATTGATATGGAAATTCAAGAAATCGGTTTCGTGAGTTTTATCCTGTTTTTTTGGTCGTCAATCAACACTTATGAACAATCGTAAACTAGAATAGATAACCTTCCAAGTAATTAAACAAATCTCTACGATATATTTAAGTAGGTGTTATGTCTCGACAAGAATAATGAATGGTAACTTTTGGGATCTATTGATGGACCAATACTAAACGTATATTTCTATTGTATAATTGTTAAGTGTCTAAACTATTCATATTCGTGTCCCTCTTATTATAAGCTTCATTTTGATCTATGAACTATTATTTTACGATTTACCATTCTTGAATTATGCCCTGTCTATTAATTACTACCTCCCTCATTCACAGCCACATCTAGCTAATTCTTGTACGAATGTTGTTTCATATTTTATTGGTGCGTTGTGGTCTGTCTGGTTGGTATATAAACAGAGTGTGTTTGAAATAAATGATTCATATTTCAGAGGCTGAGATTGATGTTCTGGACTCAACTGGCTGGGCTAGGCGGAAAGTAGGACCATTCAGGACTCTAGGCTGCTCGCACGTGTTTTACGCGTCCTTGGTCCGATCGATAAGTCACTGCCCTCTAATTGGCGGTCACAAGTTATAACAGTAAATCGATTTCTTTTAATACATATACGATTGTCTTAAATGAATGTTTTCATCCTTCAGTAATAGTTTTTGTGATATCCTAGTGAAGGTTAAACTATAGGTAACTTCTGAGAATTCTTTATGGACATATACATATATATTCTTATTGCATAATTATTCAATAACTGGATTATCTATATCTATATTCCTCTTATCATAAGCTTCATTTTGACTTATAGATTATTATTATACGATTTACTGTTCTTAAGTTATGTCCAGTTTATTCATTACAGTCTCCTTTAATCACAGCCACTTTTATGGCTTGATCTTTGTATAAATGTTATTTCCTATTTTATGATGTGATGTGATCTTTTTGGTTGGTATATAAACCCGGTATGTTTGAAATAAATGATTTGTATAGTGGAAGCTGTTATCGATGTTCTGGACTCAACTAGCAGGTTTAGGAGAACAATGGACCAGTAAGGAAGCTAGGCTTCTTATACTGTTCAATGCGTCATTGGTTTGGCACAGTACTAAGATTGTTTAAGTCGTAGTTCGATTGACGAATAAGTCACGTGATAATTAAACCGGCTTATTGTCTACAGTTGATGAATTCTGATCATCAGATTTATCGACTAGATTATTAGTTGAATTATGGAACTTTTCCTGGACACTATTAGGAACAACCTACTGTTGGAGAGAACAAACCAGATCCCAGTGGAGGATAAAAATCAGGAAGCAGCGCTGGAAGTGGATAGGACACACATTGAGGAAAGCACCCAATGGAGTCACAAGACAAGCCCTCACATGGAATCCTCAAGGCAACGGAAGAGAAGAGGAAGACCAAAGAACACATTACGCCGAGAAATGGAGATAGATATGATAAAAATGAACAAGAATTGGATGGAACTAGAAAAGTAGGCTTAGGACAGAGTGGGTTGGAGAAAGCTGGTCGGCGGTCTATGCTCCTTTGGTAGTAACAAGCGTAAGTAAGTAAGTACCATGGAAAACCTGGAAGTAATGGACGGCACTGGATGCATAATAAACATCAATAATAGTCGTACTAAAATTATGCTGATAATTATTTGGTTCTTTCAGATTGTTTTAGATGAATGTTATATTAATTGTGAAGCGTAAGTTTTACATGATTCAGGACAAAAATTACGTTATGATTTTTAAAAAGTTTCATTTTCATGTTCTAAAGTATCTTTAACAGTTCTAAGAAGTTAGTGTCACTAATCGACACGTTGTTCCTCAATTTTTCGTATTCTCGCTATCTCACTGACACCCTCGTATGAGGGCCTTGTTATTCAGTTAGCTAAGCTTCTTGAGTGGAGAGAGTTATTTTACTCAGTGTTTGAATTAGGCGTTTAGAACATGCAGATAATCACTGCTGAATATGCAAGCGAATAGTTGTAATGTCACAGGAAACAATTAGCACTGTATATGACTTACATAATCTTTTGTATCTTCATGTCGACATCAGCAATCACCGGCTAATGTGCGAGCAGAAATTCACAGTGCCCAACAACAGGAGTATCACGAATCGGAGAATAATCTTATATAGATTATTGATCCTAATTAATTAATTACGTCTGTTATCCCCGATGGTCCATAGACCGCCGACCAGCATTCTCCAACCCACTCTGTTCTAAGCCTTCCTTTCTAGCTCTATCCAATTATTGTTCATTCTTCTCATGTCTGTCTCCATTTCTCGGTGTAATATGTTCTTTGGTCTTCTGTTTCTCATTTGACATTGAGGAATTCAAGTGAGTGCTTGACTTGTGTGTCCTATCCACTACCAGCGCTTCTTCCTGATTTGTTCCCTCCCATAGTAGGTTGTTGCCGATATCGTCTGGCCAAGGATCCGAAATATTTTGCATAGACAGCTGTTAATAAACACCTGTATCTTCCGAATGATGGCTTTCGTAGTTCTCCAAGTTTCCGTCCCATACAGTAGAACTGTCTTGACATTCGTATTGAAAATTCTGACTTTGGTGTTGATTGACAGTTGTTTTGAGTTTCAGTTGTTCTTGAATTGTAGATATGTAAATTGTTGATCACATTTCTTGATAGCTTTTGCTCATGTATCGTATTTACTTATTCATTCCCTACCCTAGGGTTTCAACTTAACGTCTTATTAATAGAATCATGTTCACCAATAATTATCTTAGTAACTTAGTTTGCATATTTATCTGACAGGACATATATATGTGTATATAGAGTCAAAGTGATATCTTATCGGAACGAAATGAAAGAATCACTACCATACTATGTCAATAATAAGGAGAAATTTTGACTTGAAATTCTCCACAACCCCTATACTGATAATTACTACATGCTCAATAGTGACCAGCTTCGTGAGAAAATTCTCGGAGTTCTGATGAGAAGCCGTATGAACAGTGGAGCTAATCCGTGTCAGGTAGAGACAGGTATCTACCTCAGTGCAATGGAAGATGATCGTGTGATTTCGTGGATTGGTTGAGGTTAGACATTAACACTATTGGATGCCGGCTGAGTGGTCCATTAAGTTAAGCGTTCGCGCGCGATACTGAAGGCCGTGGGTTCGAGAGCCGCGAGAGGGATCGTGGGTGGGCACTGCTGAGGTGTCCCACAATAGGACGAAACGGCCATCCAGTGCTTCAAGGTTTCCAACGGCGGTTTAACATCAATCGGTTCATGATCTCAATCAAAAAATTGTATTACATGTACCTTTGAAACGGCATTAAAATAATAGTCAACAGAATCGTCCATTTATCGATAACTAGTATATGAATATATATAAAACTTCGCCTGGGGCTCCTCTATGGTAATGCTGGTCCCAAAGCCCAGATACAAGAGGAGGGTTGGGCATGGGGTAAGCGACCCCACCCCTCAAAACTAACCTGAAATAATTTTTTATATTTCTGTAACATAATATGATGTGTTCTGGCTTGTTTTCTTTCAATTCTTTGTTGTTTCTGCTCTAATTCTAATTCATGAATACGTTTTTGTAATGAATATAAATTCTGCTTTAAAAATATTAAACTATTTGTCATATCCGATGGAATAGAATGTTGAGCTATTTGATCTAATCGTAATATAACAACAATTTCTAATTCATTCAATTTACGTTGTTTTTCTAACTGAAATAAACAAACAAAGAAATTGAAACTATCAAACAAATAGAAAGAAGAAGGTAGATGATAGAATGAATGTGTACTATAGACCAAGTAGAATTTCGATTATAGGCATACTTTTGTTCACAAATGTGGATTAATAAAGTGTCCAAATGACCTGATACAGCTGAGGGTGGGGAGAGTTAGCTTCCCCTCTAGAAATGATCTCACATGGTCATGCGTATACAGTTATTGACAGGGAATTCCTACGCACTGACTTTTAGTGGAGGGGGTGTTGTTTACGAAAATGAGAGGAAGAAAAGCAAATATCCGGCGCTTTAACCGGGTTGGTCAATACAGAATATCCATGTAGGAGAGTTGGAAAACCCTGATTCAAAACCAGTGGTGCACAAAGACTCCATGATCCTGATGGAACAAATGGCGTGTGAATCTATTGTTGGTTATCGGTTACCATTGGACTTCATCTCCTTATGTTGCTCAATTGCCTTGTGGACCAGACCTTTATGTCGAAGGTTCTGGGTGTGGCCCCCTAAGAAAACTACCTGATTCAATTTTGGCACCCAGGTAGTATCACAGCCCACACACAAATCAAGTGACTTTTGTGGCCCATATGCATTCGTTGCCCCTTTGTTCCAACATTTATGTGTTCAAATAAATAAATAAATTAATTAATAAAGCAGTCTAGAATGTAGTATCTAAAAGATCCTAAATCATAAAGTAACGTAAATTAAACCATGGAAATTTAATTTTCAATAGTTACCAAGAAGGATTGTTTTTTCTGGTTAGCGTTTCCTTAGAAAAGTTAACTCCCAAGGATGGAGTTACTGACCTAATGCTCAATCCTCCTCTTTTCCATGTGCTTGAGAGCTGCAGTAACCGTAGAGAGGCTACTGGCGAACTATACTATAATGTTGTACATGAAGGATAGCTCACAGATGTATTCCAAGTGAGGACCGGTGTCAGACAGGAATGCTTACTCCCCCCCCTTCGTTTTCTTCTGATAGTTGATTAGATTATGTAGGCCTCCACATCTGAGAGGAAGCACAGAATACAATGAACAGCTTGCGTCCAACTAGACGATTTAAACTTCGAAGATGATCTAGCTTTAATATATCTTCTGCTAATGTCCTAAAACTTTCCCGTAATAAGAGACAACTTACTGATATGTATGAATTTAGATTCTAAGCTTATCAATATTCTTTAGGTAGATAGTTTTCAAAATCATTTGAAGACTAATATTTCTTTAAAGACAATGATTTCGAAAAACCTGATATTCCGGTTGTACAACTGACATTTGATGGATACAAGTTGCATAATTAGTTGTGGAAACAGTAAAGAAGATTTGTAACTTAAGGTAAACATTTCGATTATGTTGCTTATTCTAAGCATCATGAATTGTTCATTGACTTTCCACCAAACAACATCATCAACAAAGATCTCACTTTGCAATATCTGTAATTAATAATAATAAGTTTAAATACTTGGTAGTTGAGATGGTGGAGAAGATTTGTAGCTCAGGTGGATGATTTTGGCGGAGTTTTGTTCTCTGAGCTCAGAGAAAAAAACTCCACCAAAACTTGGTACTTGAGTTACACAATTCATTTCATAAAGGTTGATAATACCAATAAAGTGACAGAACCGTAGTACGCACAGTAGAATTCAAGCCCGAGAATCAACAGTTGAATCACAAAGATATTGAACAGACTATGAGTTACAGCCCAGCAAAAGAATTATCATTGCAAGGAACACCCTTCTTTAAAAAAAAACATATTCTTAAAAACATTGATATGCTTAAATTACTCTTTACCTGAAATGCTTCCAATTCATTTTGAGCTTGTTTTAATGTTGTTTCAACAACACGTTGTTTTTTAGTAAATATATCTAAATCTTTACGTAATATATCTAATGTTTTCTTTTCTTCAGTCATTTCTTCTTCAACATCTAGACGTTTCTCTCTAATTAAACAAGTACGTTCAAAATCTTCCATTGGACAACCTGGTGGACATGTATCTAAATCCATAATAACAACATCTTCATTTTCATCATCTATTTCTTCGTAACTGGAATCATCATCATCATCAGATGATGATGATGAAGAAGATTCTTCTGATTCATCTTCAGAACCTTGAAATTTTTTTTGAAAAAAAATAGTTGAAACAAAATAAATCTAGTGGTATCTAAATTTTATTCAGACGACTGCTAGTATCGCTGTATTTTCCCCCAAATAACCTGATACAGCCGAGAGTGAAGAGAGTAAGCTCTCCCTCTACAAATGCTGTCAAACAACCATGTGCATATAGCCATTGCCAGGGAAGTCCTACTCACTGCCTTCTCGTAACACAGGTGTTGTTAACGAAATCGAGAGGACGAAAAGGGAATAACCGGAGATTGAACTGGGTTGTTGGATATGGAGGATTCACCTAGGGGAGTTGGAAAACCCTAATTTCAAACGAATAGTGCACATGGACTACAGGACCCTGAGGGGACAAATGACGTATGAACCTATATTTGGTCACCGGCTACCATGAGACTGCATCTCCTGACGTTGCTCTAATGCGTTGTGAATTAGACTTTTAGGTCGAAGTCTCTGGGTGTGGCCGCCTAAGACAACCAGTACTTCAGCCCTCACACAAATCGAATGATTTATGTGGCGCATATCTATTCAGTGCCTTCAGGTGCCAATATTTATGTGTTTAAATAAATAAATATCGTTGTATTTAACCATGGATCGTAAGGATTTCACTGTTGTATCCTTCAATCTTTATAAACTCACCTCCATATGAATCAGCTACTGGTAATATTATCTGGAATGATAGTGTAAGTTACTAAACACGCTAACAAAACTATCCCTTAAACCAACTTGTTTACTAAAAAATCACTGTGATGTGCCGTTATTATTTTGGCAATCTATCTAAATGAAACCAACGAACAAATGATTGTGCTAAATAAATAAATGCGTATATTCACAGTATTCTAGCGTCAACAAAGAAATCTACACTAAATGATTACTGACGCGTGATCAATGTCATTTTGTTGATTCTTTAGCTTGTTGGACACATTCCAACTCAATTGACAAGATTTCATGAGCTTCAAAAGTCACTTAAATGATGACAGTGATTAGTACAAAATGTTATTGCATTTATGTTATCCCTCGTTTTTACCAATCAATGAATCTGCTAACGTCCAGCATTGGTTTACATCGATTAAACTTTATTTCAAGTGGAGATTTTGAATTGTTTTCTTTATTGATATACAGTATGTATTTACAACGGGTTATTATAATGAGTAAATGGTAAATATGTGATCAACAGTTTAATTTTATAGCAGTCTAAAGACTAAACAAAATAAAACTGGTCACAACTTTTTGGTCAGTCAGTTACAACATAGGAACAGGCACATATATACATCCGTCCACGTTGACACATCTCATTAGCACAACAAGATGAGTACCAAATACATAGAAGTAGTTACTTTAAAGGTGGTAATATATAAAAGAAAGACTGCATATAAGGACATAGTACAGCAAGAAAGATTTATTTCGTAGAAAGAAAGACATAAAGCGTTTTTAATCTCATAGTTTAAGGGAAGACAGAGAGTGTATACACCTACTCCATTGTGATCGATTCTGAGCTATGTCATCCACAGTCTCCGACGATTTGTTACGATAGTCACATGGACCCTAACCAAGTAGTCTGCATCTACCAACATGACACAGAACAGAAGTTAGTGACTTTGTGGACTGATGCCACGTTTTGGTTTGGCCGCCCCTAACTTTCTTCCAACCATCCCCTATACTAGTCAATATTGCGCGTCGTGGTAATCGGTGTTCAGACATACGTAACACGTGACTCAACGATGTTAGTCGATGAAGATTTACAACTCCATCAACTCATTTACCATCATTCCCTATACTCTGCGTCTAACCTCACTATTACTTGTCCGATGATCCTAACAAATTCGAGCAATATTTCTAAGACATCTGTGGTCAAGTACTAGTAGCCTACGAGTATCGTCTGCTCTTAATGGCCACGTTTCGTAGCCATAAAGTAGAACAGAACGAACTGCCGCGCAGTATATTCATAATCAACTCTTTGACCAACTGATGTAGATATTTTCAACAGTTGAGATCATGAGTCAATTGAATCTAGACCACCATGGAAAACCTGGAAGCACTGGACGGTCGTTTCGTCCTATTTTTGGACTCCTCAGGCAGTGCGCATCCACGATCCCGCCTCGCGGGATTCGAACCCAAAAATCTATCAGTCTCGCGCTAGGCGCTTAACCAACTAGATGAATGAGCCGGCCGGCATCCAACGGTGTTAATGTCTAACTTAAACTAATCCACGAAATTGAGCGACACATCCACCATTGTCATCAGTGAGTTACTACCTCAGTCCTACAAGAGTTCAGTCGAGGGTTGTCTAATTCAACACTAAAGTCTCTAACTATGACAATATACAAGGGTTGGTCAAAATCTCCTCCCTCCTTACCTTAAATTATCACACTAATTTAAGAAGATATTAGAATGTATAATTGATCTGCTACAATTTACCTGTTACCACCTTGGTCTCTTGTGCTGTTACGGGTATGAGGGCTGATATCACTTCCCGGCTGCCCACACCGTGGAAGGGTGTTTCTTGAGGAACCTGAAAAGGAAATTGGATTAGTGTTGGTCTTGACGACCTGGGAGCGTGACCGCAGAGCCCAAGGGACAACTGCTTGAGGCCGGTCGCGCACGGCCTTCTTGTGGAAGGTTTTTGACGTGTTAGCTCCGTTGTTCAAAGGGCCTTACCGCCGGAGACGGAAATCCGTGAGGTAAGGTGAGGTGTGGCATTTTTAGGGTCGACCTTTTCTAACCCCACCCCTCCTTGTGGGAAGGCAGCATCGCTGTCATGCTGGATGTCCGAGGGAAACACCTTACTGCTGTCACACCCCTCTACAGTCAGCAGTACGACTTCGCCCTCAGACCTTGAGTTGCTGCTTTTAGTCTTACCGTTCACCAATCGACCTGCCTGGCATGGTAGAACCTGCAGGAACATACGTTCCAGCCAATATAGCTCGGTTGGGTCATCACGATAGGCAAGCCCGATCAGCGCGTCAAGGTAGCAGCTTCGATCGTGACACGTGTTACGTATGCCCAACGACCGACTGCCTCGACGTGCGATGTTCAGTGGTATAGGAGTAGGTTGGAAGAAAGCTAGGGGTGGCCAAACCAAAACATGGCACAAGTCCATGAAGTCACTGACAAGTGAACTGAGTCATGTTGGTAGGTGTAGACTACCTGGTTGGGGACCGCGAGATGATAGCAACCGATGGTTAGAGACCCTGAATGACATGGCTCAAAATCGTTTGCAATGGCGCAGGTGCATCCACTCTCTGTGTTCTCTCAAATTGTAATCTTCTGAATTCTTCATGTCCCTTTTTTCCTCTTTCCAAATTTATTTCACTGGATTATACTCTTCAAGTAACATCTTCAAACCCTAATCTTCCCGATTACTGCTTATACTCTTATTACCTCTACCACTATGGGATTTGAATCGACAACTGCATCTCTGTGCTAATGTGGTGTGGCAACTCGAACTGATGTACGTACGTACGAAGTTCTACGTTGTTACTGACTGACTGACTGACTGACAATTTACCTGAATGAATTAATTCTTGCTTCTTTCGTTTAATACGTTTTTTAAATACTTTTGTAAGAAATTCTATAAATTTATGTGAATCATCTAAACTTGTTTTAAATTCTTCATGAATTTGATGTTCACGTTGAGAAAGACGTTCTAGATCTTTCTTTTTTTGTTCAAGTTTCAAAGTTAATTCATTTACCTTTAAAATAAAATTTAAAAAAAAAGAAAATGAAACGATTATTAGAAAGGGATATTTTGTAGAGATTGTAGTAATTTGAAAATAGTTGAGATCATAAGTTAATTGAAGCTAGATCATTATGGAAAACCTGGAACCATTGGACAACTGTTTCGTCCTGGTATAGAACTTATCAACAGTACGTATCCACAATCCCTCTCTGCAGGATTCGAACCCAAAAACCTATCAGTCTCGTACGAGTACGTTTAAACTTTAGATCAATAAACCGGTATCCAACGGTATTATTGTTTAACTTTAACCAATCCATAAAATTGAGTCACTGTCCATCATTGTCTTCAGTGAAATTGTTAGTGACCAATTTTTTTTCCAACAAAAACACCCGTTAAAATTTTATTGTCAGCTGATCTTTACTTCAAATGAAATTGTTAAGTTTTAAAATAGAACAATAAAATAAGAGTCTATATTAGTAGTATAGTAGAGGAGAACAACAATAGGGAGAATCGACTGTATTTGAACGTCTTAGTAAAATCTGAGAACCATATAGTAAATAGTAAATAGTGCAAAATGTTAATCAGTCATCTCAGACTTTATTGTGTTTTTTTTTCGTTTCCACACCATTCACTCTGTGTTCTTGTTCCTTTCTTTTCTTCGATCTTCTTAACCTTCTGCTGCTAAGTCCTACTTTTTCGATTGATGATAGATACTATTTATGTCTGTTGACATCAGGAACACACACCACACTACGAGATATTCATTAATTAACCCATTTTAGATATGAATTGAATGAAAAGTCAGCGAATAAGTTCTTAATCATTAAGATCAACATCAAATGTACGAATTGTGATAGGTTGATTTTTCATTTAATGAAGATAGAAGTCAAGTGTCTACACAGTATGAATTGGTAGATATAATTCCTAGTTCAGATGAATCCTTTAAGATAATGATAAGTGTTTCGAGGTGAATAGTTTAATTATATAACTTTAGCTATCGTTCTAGACAGGATTGTTGAACCTTTAAGCTTTTATAGTGCATCAATTACTTTCAGATTATAATGTCCGGATACCATCAGCAACAGCTTACTGTGTGAGAGAACAAACCAGTTTCCAGCTGAAGAGAAAATTAGGAAAAGATGATGGAAATAGATAGGACATACATTATGGAAATCACTAAACAACATCCCAAGGTAAACCCTAACTTGAAATCCTGAAGGGAAACGGAAAAGTGAAAAGCCAAAGAATACATTACATCGAGAAATAGAAGCAGATATATGAAAAAAGATGAATAACAACTGAAAGAAGCTAGAAAGGATTTCCCAGAACAGGTTTGGATAGAGAATGCTAGTAGGCGGCTTATGTTCCTCCATGTAGGAGTAACAGGAGTAAGTATTTGAATTCAACATATTCAATTTGTTCAACTTACCTTATTAGTAATATCTTGTTTTTCTTCTAATCTATTTTTCATTTTTTCCATTAAAACATATTCAGATTTATCAAATTCTTTTAATAAACAATATTCATTATATAATGTACATTGATATAATTCAGAACGTTTTAATAATACACCTAATTGATAACGTTGATGACGGAATAAATGAATTTCTCTATCAAAACAACGAACTAATCGACTAGCTAATTGTAATAAATAATTACGATAATAAATTGTTTTAATACATTTTTGTTCTTTATATTCCATTTCTAATGATCGTAACATTGTACTACTTTGATTGATTTCACTGAAAATACCAAAAAAAAATAAAGAGAAAAGAAACAAATGAGAAAGAAGTAAAAATGGGCGAAACTTTAATTTATGAATGAGTCAATTAGAAGCGTTTGAGGAATTTCAAGGTTACGGAGCCAAGTTCAATACCTGATGCTCACATACGATCGGTTTACAGCGAATTTTAGAGAAGAGGTGATTATTGAGCGGCTACAAGAGATGAGACTAATAAGAAGTTCCTGTATCTGTGATTGGGGTTATCAAATGACTGCAGTATAGTGTGCAGATTATCGTGATGAGATTGTATTTCGTTGTTGTTTATGTTGGAGAAAAAAGTCTGCTCGAACGAGGACTTTCTTCACTCGATCGCGACTGAGACTGAGGCAAATCATGATAATAGTTGTAAATTGGATAATAAAGACACCAGTAACACTGACTGCGGCGTTTGCAGATGTTACTGAAACTTCAGCCGTCCAGTGGTATGAGTATTAATGTGATATATGTGCACTTAAAATGACTAGTCTACACGAATCACTCGGGGGAGTCGGAAGTATTGTGGAAATAGATGAAACAGTAGTGCGAAAGCAAAAATACAACAGGGGACGTAGTATCAAGGAAGATTGGGTAAGTAGCACTTCCGTAAATATACTTGACAGATACTTGGAATTTATGATCGCTCAACACAAAAGGGGCATTTTCAGAGGGTCAATAACCGGCAAGCAAGCACAATAATACCAATTATACAGGAATACGTGCAGCCGGGCACTACGATATATACAGATGATTGGAGAGAGTATAGATGCCTTCATAGACTTGGGTATGTCCATCACGTCGTAGTGCATAAACTCCATTTTTTCGACCCTACTACGGGCGTTCATACTAACAACATTGAAGCCATGTGGCCGAGACTGTAGGAATTTTAAAGACCGTATCACGGCTCCAGAGGATGACTATTATGGAGCCATATGGACGAGTTCCTATATCGTATGCATTATGATTTTAAAACATCTGAACCTTTATCAAACCTTAACAAGTTTTTAAATCATGTAGAAGAAGAATATCTATTGTAATTCATCAGTTTCTTATAATATATTTTTACTTCATACTAACTGTCTTCTGATTGGCTAATAATTGCCAAGGTGGCGAGACTCTAATTTAGGGACGAGCCAATCAGAAGCGTTTGAGCAATTTCAAGGTCACCGAGCCAAGTTCAACAGGCGCTGCTAACATACGATCGGTTCACAGCGGATTTTAGAGAGTAGGTGATTAATGAGAGGTTACAACAGATAGGACGGCGAGACTCTAATTTAGGGGCGAGCCAATCAGAAGCGTTTGAGCAATTTCAATTATTAGTCAATCGGAAGACAGCATAAAGTAAAAATATATTAAAAGAAAGTAATAAATTACAGTGGATATTCTTCTTTAACATGATTTAAAAACTCGTATGTTAGCATCCTAACCCTAACCTTAACCCTCACCTAACACTAACCTTAACCTTCACCTAACTCTAACCCTAAACCCTAACCTTAACCCTAACCCTAAATCCTCACCTTACCCTAACCCTAAACCTTAACCCTCAACTAACCCTAAACCTTAACCTTAACCCTAAACCCTCACCTAATCCTAAACCCTAACCTTAAACCCTCACCTGACTCTAACCCTAAACCCTCACCTAACCCTAAACCTTAACCCTCAACTAACCCTAACCCTAACCTTACACGTAAACCTAACTCTAACACAATAGACGAGTTTCTATTCCATATGCATTGTGAATTCAGAACCTCTGAACCTTCATCAAACCTTAACAAGTTTTTAAATCATGTAAAAGAAGAATATCCATTGTAATTCATTACTTTCATATAATATATTTTCACTTTATACTAACTTTCTTCTGATTGGCTAATAATTGTCAAGGTCACTTAGGATTCGTTCAAAGGTCGTCCTTAAATCAGAGTCTCGCCGCCAAGGTCATTCAAGATTCGTTCAAGGTTGGTCCATAAATTAGAGTCTCGCCAAAAAATGTGTTATGATCAAAGATCATGTCCTATTACGTTAACATTTATTCACAGTTGATTGATCACTGGATGAGTGATGATCAATGTCATGTATCAAATCGTTTTTAGTGCAGATCGATCAAGTTGCAATGTGACCACTATCCTAGGTGACTTGACATTACGTGCAACTATATTGAGGTAAGATGGTGGTTGGAGGTAGTTAACAGTAAACCCTTGGACCTGAGTTTTGTGCTGGTGATTGGCCTATGCTCTTCCACGAGCAGTAACAAGCATAAGTAAGTAAGTAGTCTTTTAAACTGTAATCTTCTAATCTAATCAATAGTGTAATCAGTCAGTCAGCTACAACGTAGGACCAGGCACAAGTTGCCATACCGCATTAGCACAGCAAGATGGACATCGGATTCATAGAAGTAGTTAATTCAATAGTGGTAATATATAAAAGAAAGATTGCATATAAGGATATAGTACAGGAAGAAAGAATTAGTTCGTAGAAAAATATGAAGCGATTTGAATCTCTTAGTTTAAGGAAGGATAGAGAGTGTATACACCTACGCCATTGTGATCGATTCTGAGCCATGTCACCAAGAGTCTCCAACCATTGGTTACGATAGTCACTCGGATCCCAACCAAGTAGTTTGCATCTGCCAACATGGCACAGACCAGAAGTGAGTGAGTTTAAGCACTGATGCGACGTTTTGGCTTGACCGCCCTTAACGTTCTTCCAACCATCCCCAACACCGGTTAGCATTGCACGTCGTGATAATCGGTGTTCAGGCATACGTAATATTTTATGATAAAATTGATATGAAATTATTTACTTAACTCATTAGTATACTACAATAGATTTTTATGAAATAATAATAAAGAATAAACAAACTTACTTTAAAAAAGAAGAAAGTTGTATTTGTAAAATCTCCGTGAATGAAATTCGAAGTAAATCGAACGTTTAACCTGTCAATCTGGTTTAAACTATCTCCTTGAAAAAGCTTAGACCAAATTGTCAAACGAAACATTGGATTTACTTCAAATTCCATTCATTGTGACTTTACAAATACAACATTCTCTCTACTTCTGATGTCACACATCAATTCACACTTCACTTCTATCTGAAATTTATGCTGATGATGTTATTCAGAAGAACGATAGAAGCTCCACGACCAAACCATCCAACTCAGAGAACAAAACTCCATCAAGATTAAACTTACTTTAAATTTATATCTTCCATCTGATTCTCATTCATCATGTATGAATTCATTTTATCTGGTCTTATTGGATGATATATTGATATTTTTATTGTATCATCGGTATCTTTTGTTTGATTTTCTTGTTGCTGTGGATGTTCTTCTATCGTTTCATTATTATGTAATAGATTATTGATTGACATTTCATCAAATATATTATGTAATGATGGTTTTAATAAAGAGTACTTTTGATTTGAATTATTTAATATAGTTAGATTATAATGATCTGATGCTAAACAATGTAATGGAAACCAAATAACATCTATAGTATCTGTTTCATCATTACAATCAATCGTATTGAGATTACGGAATTCTTTGATAATTTCTGGTTCTTTCCAATGACAACGTTCTTCAGGTGGAATACATTCAGTAAATGAAAGTATTTTATTTGATGGCTTCTATAGTAAAACAAAAAAAGACAATAGAATCCAAGACGAAAGAATAGGTTTTCAGGTTGACTTTATGAAAACATTGTTAATTCAATGTTAATGTTATTATTTTGACGAATATATTTGAAAACGATGAAGTTAATATAGTAATTTCAATAATTGAGATCATGAATCAATTGAAGTTGGACAACCATGGAAAACCTAAAAGCGCTGGATAACTGTTTTGTTCAAGTCTATTGTGAGATTGTAACTGACTGATGATAATGGTGAATGTGTCACTGGATTTCGTGGATAAGTTGAAGTTAGACATTAACACCGTTGGATACCGACCGACTCAGTGGTCTAGTGGTTAAGCGTTTGAGCGCAAGACTGATAGGTTCTGGGTTCGGATCTCACTAGACAGGATCATGGATTCGCACTGCTGAGGAGTCCAACAATAGGACGAAACGGCCCTCCAGTGCCTCCAGATTCTCTAAAGTGGTCTATCTTCAATTAACTCATGATGTCGACTATTTAAATAATACTGAAATGTTGATTAATGTCATCTTTTCATAGTCTATTAATTTAGATTAAATCCAATAAATCAAGTTTCAATGTAATCACTAATCTAAGTCATTTAAAATCACGTCTAATATATTGAAGTGTTAGTTGTATGGAGCTAATTGATAGTAAACACTGGTTATGTATTAGTTGCAATATGTCAACAACATATATGTGTAACTTTGAGAGGGAATCGATATTCCCTGTGGTATTCTAGCCTGCGTTATTCAGTTTCATAGTTTAACAGGTTATTAGAACTGAAATATTAACAGTTGATTGATCAATCACTACTGAACAGTCTATCGTTCAAATCTTAATGTGATATTCATTACTTTAAGTTCACACGTACACTTTCTTAATAAATGCCAAGTAGCTTGAGAAATAGATCCAGAGTTTCTTAATCAATTTATTTCTATTTATCTAATTAGTTAATATACGTTGGAAGTACATTATACCTCGTTGATGTTGATGATAATTGATTTTATTATTATTATTGTGTTTACTTAACAAATCAATCAATAATTGTTGTAACGGGTGGGTGACTGCAGGTTTTTGATAAGCAGCGTTATTTATCGATCGCGATCTGTGACAGTGACACGGAAAACACGTACGGACGACCTAGTGCCCTGATTGGCCCTGCTTCGCTGTCCGTCCTAGCCCAGTTGAGTGAAGAACACAAGTCACAGCCTCGGAGTTATGAATCATTGTATTTCAAACATACTCTATTTATATACCAAGCAAACAAACCACATCGTACCATAAAATAGGAAACAACATTTGTACAATATTTAACAAGTGAAATAAACATCGACCAATAAGAATGTACATTTAAGGTTCAAGGACACCATTGGACTTAACATGATAATTATTGGTCTCATTTTCCGACTATCCCAACAATAATATTCAACCAAACTCAATAAATCGATAATATCATATACTGCTAAGCAACTAATGGTTATAACTAACATAGAAAGTCACTTAGTTACCAATTGAACTATATAAAATAGAATTCATTTTTGTATGGATTGTTTAGATTTTCTTATTGATGTTTAAACCTTCAATTGATCAGTCTCTTATTGGTCAATATGTACATCCTGTGAGGATTGTCTTGATATATTACACAAATATTTATAATCCTATATCATCACTACAGAGATAGTAATGACAATTCACAAAATCAATGCATAGAAATAACAGTAGTATTAACGATTAAAGTTTTTGAGAAAAAAGAAAAAAAAATTTACAAAAGAGAATAAACTAATTGTTCCACCTCCCTCCAAATAGAAATCAAGTGGTTGCTAATTACGTAATACCAATTTTTAGTTTATCCGCTTAGAGAATTTTTTGTAGTTTATTCCATTTGACATTAATAAAAGTGGATACTTTATACGTACGTAACACAGATTTCAACCTTATTAATCGATGTCAGTTAGTCACTTGATGTATAGTTCTAAACAGATTGTTAGTTATGTTTATGTTAGTTCCCGATAAACATAAAGAATGGTAACTTTGGGATCTATTGATGGACTAATACTAAACGTATATTTCTATTGTATAAGTGTTATGTAACTAAACTATGTATATTCATATTCCTCTTATTATGAGCTTTATGTTGACCCATAAACTTATATTATACCATTTACCATTCTTGAGTTATGCCCAGTCTATTAATTACTACCTCCCTCATTCACAGCAACATTTGGCTAAATCTTGTACAAACGTTATTTTCTATTTTATGCTACATTGTGGTCTGTTTGATTGGTATATAAACTCAGTATGTTTGAAACATAAGGATTCATATTGCAGAGGCTGAGACTTATGTTCTGGACTTAACAGCCTGGGCTAGGCAGGAAGCAGGACCAATAAGGACTCTAAGTTGCTCGTACGTGTTTTACGCGTTCTTGGTCCGATCGATAATTCGCTGCTTCTGACTGGCGGCTTTGGGCTATTACAGTCTATAAATAACCAATCAGATCGTTGTTGTTAAGCTCCCACCACGTCAATTTTGTCTGATGTATTTGTAGACTAATCCCTATTGCATGTAACCTAACAATTGAAGGACATTATTATCCTATTATATTAGTGTGACGAACTCCGTCTACAGCCCATCTGCCGTTGGGCACGGAATTCCCGACTTTATCCTGTAGAAAACTAGAACGCTATCAAAAAATATTCTTACGACCCATAATACTTTTATTCATTTCGATAAGATACTCAACACTGGTCGGTATGTTTGCACGTTCCACTTAAAGACTATAACTCTTATAATTATTACTGTACTAATCAAATCTTGCGGGGTGGGATCATGGATGCGCACTGCCAATGAGGAGTCCCACAATAGGAAGAGTTAGCCATCCAGTGCTTACAGATTCTCCATAGTGATCTAGCTTCAACTAACTCATGATCTAAACTATTGAAACTACTATAATATCCACAATAAACCCCATTCTGATATTAATCAAACTGTTACTTTCACTGAGATCATGAACCGATTGATGTTAGACCACTATTGAAAACCTGGAGGCACTGTGCGACCGTTTTGTCCTATTTTGGGACTCCTCAGCAGTGAGCATCCACGATCTTGCTCGCGGGATTCGAACCCAGGGCCTTCAGTCTTGCGCGCGGCCGCTTAACCCACGTTTAAAATCAGATAAAGTTTTCAAGCCAAATTGTTCTTGTTCCGACAACACAGACACTGAGGTTCGCCACCAATATCACGTTTACAGTTCTAGTACTATATCTGTAAAATAAATCAAATTCGGTTGAGATATAAAATCATATTGATAAACAAACAAACATGATCATTTACCTTAGTTGTTGTTGCTATGGTGACATTAGTTTGTTCTGTTTGTTTATTCGTTTCTAAATTCTCTTTAAAATTCAATAGAATCTCATTGTTGTATATGAATTTTCTTTTTAGAAATAGTTCCATTTTTTGGAAGAAAAAAAAGAAGACAAGATTATCATTTATGAACGAACCAAACAGAGGTATAAGATAACAGATCTCTGGGATTTTGGCACGGAATTCACAGATCCTTTTGGCTAAATAGAGTTTAAGCATTATAGCTGATGTTAGTTCGTGATGAAAAAACCCTAAATCTAATTCCTAATCTTAATCATCAACTGTAAATCATAATTCTAATTTCTCATACAGGTTTATAATTCTCATTTGATTCTAGTTACTAGTAGGTGAACACTCTCAAGGTCACTGTAGCGTCACTCAAAAGTCATCTATGAATTATAATCTCACCACATTCTTTTTTATATGGAACGTTTCATGGTTTTGCGTGTGATCATTGCGCAGGGCCATGCTAATCCTCTCTGTATCGTGCCAATTTTAGTAAATATACACAAAATACTTCGGATCCATTGGCCAGACACTATGAGTAACAATCTACTATGGGAGAGAAGAAATCAGATCCCACTGCAGGAACAAATCAGGGAGAAGCTCTGGTAGTGGATAAGACACACATTGAGGATATCACCCAACTGCTTCACAATGTAAGCACTCACTTGAATTACTCAATGCCAAATGAGAAGCGGAAGACTAAAGAACACATTACACCGAGAAATGGAGACAGACATGAGAAGAATGAACAACAATTGGATGGAACTAGAAAGGAAGGCTTAGGACAAAGTGGGTTGGAGAATGCTGGTCGGCGGCACATACTGCTTTGGGAGTAACAGGCGTAAGTAAATACGTTAATCTCTGACTAGACTAATAATGATTTTCTTTTCTACACATAATTCTCATCATGTTTCACGTAATATTAGATTTCTGAACAATATTATCAGCATAAACGTTACTTCTGTTTGAAGTTTATACTAGAGATGTTGTTTTGAATGTTGATCCAACTTTCACAATGAAACCATTCAGCTTGAAGACCAGAATTTCATTAAAATCTTTATCAATTTTAACTCAAACTATCATTAAAACTAAATTTTCCATAGTTACTAACATAGAAAATCTATAAGACAAGAAAGTACTGCATCTTTTAATCGATAGATGATTCTGATTCGCATTATTCGGTAACATCTTTCTTAATCATATAGTTTAAGAATGTAGATAAATTGGTCTATAATTTAGATGAGATTCTTACTGTTATACTCCGATGAGAATAATGGATAGTAACTGTTGGAATCTATTTCTGGACTAATACGATACATGTAGTTTTTATGGTATAATTGGTAAGTAGCTAAACTATGAACATTCAGATTCCTCTTATTATAAGCTTTAATTTGACCCATAGACTATTATTATACGATTTATCATTCTAAAGTTAGGTCCAGTCTATCACTTACTATCTCCCATATCCACAGCCACTTTTGGCTAAATTTTGTATAAATGTTGTTTCCCACTTTACAGTACGACTGATATGCTTGAATGCTATTACGAGTTCACCTTACTCGATAAACGGAATGAAGGTCAAAGATACAATGATACGATAGGCTATTCTAATCCGTTGTCCCCAGCCCTGTCAACTAAATCAACAAGTCTTGATCAGGTGTAGAGAATGTATTCTACAAGCATCCAGAAAATACGAGGTCACTAAGCACACAAATCAAGCTTATTTCTACAATGATAAAAACGCCTTTGGGAGAGCCACAAAATAGCGTACTAAAAAAAATCCGTTAACCAATGACAGTCAAGGATTTCCGAGTGGGAAATGTAAGCTGTGAGTCAACTAAGCGTCTCTTGGCGCGAAAACATAAAATTCAAATTTTCAGAATAAAATTACAAAATTAGGACCTTTTCCAACTTCCTCAACAACGATGTAGTCTATTTAATTTGTATATAAACCTAGTATGTTTGAAATACATGATTCATATCACAGAGGCTGAGATTTGTGTTCTGGATTCTAACCAGGTAGGGCTAGTCGGGAAGCAGAACCGACAAAAGCTCTAGACTGCTCGTACAGGTTATATGCATTATTAGTTCGGTGGATAAGCCACAATTCTCTAATTGGCAGTATCATTACGTTATAAATTGATAGGGTTACAAGGTTATAAGTTATAACACTCACCATAAGGATTATATCATTATTTAATCAAATTTCAATAATTCAAAGTGTCAGTATAGTGGTTGTGGAGATTGTTAAGTTTTTGATTGAGATCATGAACCGATTGATGTTAGACGAACATTGAAAACCTGGAAGTACTAGACGGCCGTTTCGTCCTATTGTAGGACTCCTTAGCAGTGCGCATCCACCATCTCGCCCGCGGGATGATGGTCTAACATCAATCGGTTCATGATCTCAATCAAAAAATTCAAAATATGTTTAATAATTTTGTACAATTCATTTCAATGATCAATAATACCTTTCAGGATATTCATCTTCATCAAGTTCATCAATATGTAAACGTATACCATATTCATTCAATGGTAAATTACAATTAATATATTTTAATTGTTTATCAATTTTTTTCAAATTTTCTATAATTTTCATTTTTTTATTACGTAATCCAATTAATGATACATTGAATTCATGACTTAATTGATACACCTATCATTGAACAAAATCCAACAAAAATTATATATCAGAAGGGATTTTGTGGAGATTTTAGAAATTTCACTGGTTGAAATCATGAGTCAATTGAAGCTAGACCACTATGGAAAGCCTGGAAGCACTGGACGGCCGTTTCGTCCTAGTATGAGACTCCTCAGCGGTGCGCATCCACGATCCCGCACCACGCGAGATTCAAACCCAGGACCTATGAGTCTCGCTCCAGGCGCTTAACCAACTGGACCACTGAGCCGGCCTGTATCCAACGCTGTTAACGTCTAACTTCGACCAATCCACGAAGTTGCGCCACCGTATACCATATTATATGCTCACTAGTGACTAGCTTTAAGAGATACTCCTATAGTTCTAGTGAGAAGTCGTTACCAGTGGAGTTCAACCAGGTCTGTTGTGAGAGGAGTCCCATACCGGGACTAAACGGCTGTCAAGTGCTTCCAGGTTTTCCATGGTGGTCTAACTTCAATTGACTCATTATTTCAATCTGTGAAAAGTGTATATCAATAATTAGATTTATCCTTGGGTTTTCATTTATAAGTTGAGATTGTAACGGTAAATCAATAGCTCTGTAAGTCGTCGACATTGGATGCTGGAAGCGCTCGGTCATGCATCTGCGACAAATCATGAGTAGGAACGTCATGTTGCTCAACATCCTTTGCAATCGCTAGCCAGTCTAGATCAGTCGATCCTCAATATACTGATAGCCTATCAAATATAACTTCGAGCATCCTCGATTCTGACTTTTAATTTCACTTGGTGGGTACGATTCATAGTAGCGGGTGTTATTGATTAATGAGTTGTCAAACTCCAAATACATGTAGTATCTTCAAGATCATAAGTTAATTGAAGCTAGGCAACCATGGAAAACCTGAAAGCACTGGATGGCTGTTTCGTCCTATTGTGGGACACCTCAACAGTGTGTATCCAAGATCCTGGCTCGCGAGATTCGAACCTAAGACCTACCAGTCTTGCACTCGAGCGCCTAACCATTAGACCATTATTCTCGGCTAATATTAAAAACGTTTCACTTATGGTTAGTTAATGGTAGCTTTCATTGTTTAAGGTGGTAACTTTCCAAAGTTTAGACACAATGTACGAGTGAATAGTATTACCTGGATTAGAATACATTGACGGCAGTTATATGATTCGAAAGACAGGTGCTTAAGCTAATTTATGATTAGCTTGAAGCATAATTTAATTCACAAGCAATAATGAGAGGAGTTTAACCATCTTTGTAGTGTCGGTTGCTATGTTAAGCCCATATAACTTATTCTAGCTTCTGGATAGACCAATTTATCCATAAATCTTAAGTCATGTTTTGACCCTGCTTTTATATGAGTGTATGTGTGTGTACATCTTAGTCTACTCATCACATGTTTGTAGCTTATTTGTATGTAACTATACATATTGATTAACGTTTGATTAAATCGAGTTGTTGGCCCACACGCCTTTTCCACTAAGCGTCATTTCGCTTCTTTATCGTGTGTTTGTCCCATCGCTTTGATTATCTGTCCAGATTAATGAATGTACAAAATACATGTATTCAAAACTTCGTTCTCATATTTAATTCCGTTATTCACTAACGTGATTTAAATCGATAGTCAGGATATATATTTCGACAGCAATCATTCAACGATGATCATTTATCTGATCTACCTGGAGTCAGATCTCGGGCCACAGAACTCTGCAACCGAAAAAATGTCGTCGATGCTACTACAAGTTATTTATACAGTAAACTAAAGCAATAAGTCACTGAAATTTGATGACAGCTTAATGATTCTGTGATGGGCTAAAAAATGAGTGGAGTCAGGAGTTTGTACTGCTAGTATCTGTTACGTAATCGACGGCTTCTAAAATGCGTCACTGCTAACGTTTCATAATGTGAAGCTGAATAATTTGTATTTCAATCGAACAGGGGACCATTTACCAACGCTTGTAGACAGACCTTTCTCGTGAGTGTTAAACAGAATAAATCCTAAGTGGAGCAGGGTTTCCTGTCGATTATGTCAAATCATTTAAAATCAACACATGTTTCACATGATATTGATTCTTCTAGACTAGTAAACACTTGGCAGTTTGATCTAAGCTAAGAAACTAGACAAATATGACAGTGGTAACTGCTCAGTTGACAATCCGTTGTAAACTACAGAGATATTCTAAACTTTGAAGAAGTCCCTACTTGGTAACATCTAATTTCGAATAGTTACTCACTTGATTCTGTCTTCGAAAGTCTATTTTCAGTTAGATCATTCTTATGCTGTAGCTTATTATGTACCTCTATCTATATATATTATCTCGTGGCTAACAACTTAGTCCATCACAACACATATCTTGGCACATATGTACATTGGTTCAAGTTGCTATAATCTATTAGCAAAGACAGATCAAATTGTCAGAACAAATTCCAAAAGATAATAACAAATCCAAAAAGTCCAATTCAAAACTTAACAAGACAACTGAGATTAGATGGTGGTTGGAGGTAGTCGATCAACTACCATCTAATCTAAATATATAGTACACGCAGTGTCAAGTCACCTAGACTGGTGACCACATTGCAACATGATCGATAGCATTCGATCTGTACTAAATAGGGACTTGACACACATGACATTGATCACCACTCAGTGATCAATCAATTGTGGTTAACAAGACAACTATCCAGCATTATCTTAGTTCTCACTAATCATCCAATTCATTTCATTACATAACGACAATATTGACTTACATGATCCACAAGATTAAGAAGTTTATGTTTCACTTCAAATGTATTCAATTTCATACTTTCAGGTATTACATAATTAGTTGCTGATTTCAATTTATAATCACCTATTGTTTCTTTAGCCAATTGAATTTCTTTCATATCTCTTGGATCTTCATAATCATCAGCTGGTTTCATAGCTTCTAATTGTTTCCACTTAAATTTAAAATAGTCCATAAAGAAAATTGTACATTTTATATAAACACAATTACAAAATATTAATAGTTGAAATCATGAGTCAATTGAAGTTAGACCATCATGGAAGACCTGGGAAGCATTGGATAGCCATTTCGTCCTACTGTGGGACTCCATAGTCGACACCAATAGCACACATACCACAGTACTACATAGTCTGAATAATTCTAATGAGAAATTCATTTTGTGATAAAACTAATTAATGCATAATAGCTTATCGTACTTTTTTCACTTTAGCTTTAGGTTGGTTAAGAACATTGATCAACGATCGCATTCTTTATGGTCATTGTTATAACCAATGTAATTGTGTATTATAGTTTTGTAGCTCAATGAAATATAAAATACAGGATGAAAGCAGTCCAGTTATGTCATCCAACCGCTGACCAATACCACGTGACAAAACAATCATTCGGAATCCCGATTTATATGACTTAGTGTCATTGAGTTGGTCAGTTACACGTCAAAAACATACCAATTACCTTGAATTAACTGCTAAGTCATTTTTCTTCCATAAATCCATTCATACCTTCTTCCTCTGCCCCCTTCCCTGGAGTCCAGAAGTCAATAACCAAACTCCATAATACGAATAATATGTTTCAAACAGACGTAGTTTATATACAGGCATACTACACCACATCCAACTATATATTTCATGATAACAGTTATACATGATCAAGCCAAAAAGTGGCTGTGGGTAGAGGATACTGTAATTAAAAAGCTGGGAAGTGACTAAGAATAGTAAGTCGCCTAACAGCAGTTAATGAACAAATCAAAAGCTTATGATGCGTCTGAATGACAATACAACAAAATCATTAGTTAGGTTGATATCATGAATGGATTAACACTAGACCATCATTGAAAACCTGGAAGGACTAGACGACCGTTTCGTCTTCTTATGGGACTCCTCTGCTCATCCACGATCCCACACAGGGACTGGGACTTAGGACCTCCGGTCTCGCGCGCGAACGCCTAACCTCTAGACCACTAAGTTGGCATTCAATGGTGTTAATGTCTAACTTCAGCTAATCCACGATGTCCCATACTAGGAAGAAACGATCATCTAGTGCTCTCCAGTTTTCAATGGTGATCTAAGATTGATCCATTTATGATATCAATCTAAACTCAACAATAATCCGATAATACTAACTCCAATTTTTACAACATCCACTCCGTTATAAACAAGTAGTCTTTATATTCATTCACATAGTTTAGTGGATGGAGTGCAATATCAACTATCATATCAATCCACATGGTCATATCAAATATCTTGAATAAAATTAGAAGTATTTACCAATCAGCACATGAATGAATAAAAGATCAAGTTGGAAAACTCTATCAATGATTCAACTACCACTCTTAAAGGTAACTTTAGCGGCTGGCACCATATGTTAAGCCCTCATAACTCATTCTAGCTTCTGGACAAATCAATCTATCCATTGTCCTTAAGCTACAAATTCTAACCTTGTTAATCATTAACTTATCAAAACTGACTGTTTTTATATCAGCCTATGTGTATCCACATCTTATCCTACTCATCACATGTATGTAGCTTATTTTTGTGTAATTATTAATATTGATTAAATTGAGATGGTTTACGTGCCTTCTCCGCTGCTCATCATTTTGTTTCGCTCTCTCTTCTTTGCTTCTTTCGCTACGTATCTTTAATTTTCTGTTCCGATCAATGGTTGTACAAAATAAATGTATTCGAAATCCATTCTCGTACATGGCTTATTTTAATTCCGTTATTTACTTACATGGATTAACTCGATGATTATATACGAGGATTGGTGATATGTATATCTCAATAACAATCAATCATACGATATTACTGGAGTGAGATAACGGATTACAAAAGTAGTGAGCCCTTCGATAGCATCATTGTACAATTAAACTAGAGTCAGATACAGGAGCACTAAATAACAATGATTAAGTTCTTTTTATCAACACCATACTCCTTATCATAATCAAAATAAATGCGATGAAGTTGTAAAGTGTAGCAAAGTTATTTTTCAATTGGTATTGTTTACTTGAATCTTCCCATTGTTATTTAAGACTGCGAATGATCAGTCTCTTATTGGTATATGTGCATCCTATGTGGATTGCCTCGATATTGCCTTTATTCACAAACATTATGAGCAAAGATAGATAGTGGCTAGCAGTGTAATCCAGGACGCGCGTTTCATTCTACTTCGGACTTTTCATTTGGATGTACCTGCATCTCAGAGTTGATGTTCACTCTGGGACTCGAATTACTATTCTGGATTGTTCTGAATATGATCATCAATGAATCTATTCATATTCATAAAAGGAACCAACTACATAGATTATAATACTGCCAAGTTGATTAGCAGAAAGTAGTTTTGTAGATATCATAGTAAGTTAATAGTTGAGTTCATGAGTCAATTGAAGCTAGACCACCATGAATGTCAGCTCATTGACCTAGAGGTTAAGCATTCACGCTCGTGACCAATAGATTCTGGGTTTGGATCCCGCGGGGAGGGAATCTTAGATGCGCACTGAGGAGGAATCCCACACTAGAACGAAACGACTGTCAAGTTTCTATAAAAGAATCATATATTTGGGTTAGTATATGTCATCTTGTAGATGATTTATGTTTTCAAATCGAATTTATAAATTTACCTGAGCTCGACGAGCATCTCGTTTTCGTCTAGATTCCTCAAGTAAGTGTAACTTTTGTGCAATTCTTAAACCCCGTGCTCCTTTTATTGATGTATTAACTTGATTAGTAACATTTTTAATCTTTTCAGATTCATGTTCCATTGTACTAGTTACATCTAAATATCAAGATACATAAAAAAAAAAAGGGTGAGACTATAATTTATTGGTAATCTTTAAGTAATGCTAGAGTGACCTTGGGAGTATCCACCTAATTACCTAGGATTGAATGAGGGTTACAAACCAGTGTGAGGAATTAAAATTATGATTTACAGTTGATGGTTAAGGATAAGAATTTAATTTGGGGTTTTCATTACGTACTGACATCAGCTATAACGCCAAAACTTTACTTATCCAAATGGATGAGTGAATTTCACGTCAAAGTCCGAGGCCAGTTATCTTGTACCTGATTGGTTTGTATTGAAATGTCCCTGAGTCCTAACCAAATCATCCAGCAGTTGGGTCATTGAATATCGAACAGTTCATCGATCCTCGTCAAGGTCAAGGACAACCAACACCCATCATTCAATCGTATCCCAACGACTGGCGCATTCGGTCGTCTCGCTATCTTCTCCGTATTCATTCTTACTTATATATTTCCATAATAACATCCTTTGTGTTATACGGTCTTCAAAGCAGTCATAGTACTTTGATACATCGAAAAGGTTATCCAAGTTTGATGCTGATCTCGAAGTGTGACTTTAATGTCAGCTGGTTCGTCACACTCTTCCCGTCTAACTTGAGTAGGCCTCCAGTCATTCAACATAGATCATCTACGTTGATGATCAACAGGTTCGTCCATAAATTATAGTCTCACCGAAATAAAGTTTATTTTACCTGATCGATTTTATACAATCTGCAAGTCAATATAAGAAGCACTAAGATCGAGAGGGTACAGATCAACTTTGTCACGTATACGTGATTATATGTAAGTATTAGATTGCCATATACATCTTAAAATGAATGTAATTATCTTCTCATTACTGGTTAGTTTCAAAATAGACTTTTTGAATTTAAAGTAGGGTAATGTGAAATCTAAAGCTCAGTCATGTCAGAAATATGGTGTTCTCCGTGTTGTATTTGAGGACCTTGGTTTTCCCCTTGTGTGTGCTGAGGCCTACTGATGCAGAGACTGCTGCTACACTGGCTGTCTTTATCAGCATTTGTTCGTGTTTATGGGATAGAAGGTCTAGGTCATCTGCGAAGTCCAAATCGTCTAATTGATTCTGAGCTGTCCATTGGGTGCCGTGTTTTCCCTCAGATTTCGAGGTCTTCACAATCCAGTCGACCACCAGAAGAAAGAGGAAGGGAGAGAGTAGACAGCCTTGTCTGACTCCGGTCCTTACTTGGAATGCATCTGTCAGCTTTCCTCCATGCACGACCTTGCACTGTAGTCCGTCGTATGAGTTCCGGATAATGTTTACAATCTCAGGAACTCCGTAGTGTCTAAGAAGTTTCCATGGTGTCCGATGGATTTGTTGGAGCCGGCCTATTCAGGAGTTTTTCGAAGTACTGTACCCATCTGTTCCTCTGTTGTTGTATTTCAGTGATTGGCTTGCCTTCTTTGTCTTTGACCGGTCTCTCTGGTTTACTATATTTCCCTGCTAGTTTCTTCGTTGTATCGTAAAGCTGTTTCATGTTTCCTTCTCTTGCAGCTTTTACCGCCGTCGTTGCTAGTTCTTCCACATATTTCTTCTTTTCAGCTCGAATGCTCTTCTTCACTTGCTTGTTTGCTTCTATGTCCTCAGCTTGTGCTTGGACTTTCTCTGCTAGTGTTCGGCTGTTGTTAATTGCTGTCTTCCTGTTCTTCCCTTCTTTGATCCTGTCCAGTGTTTCTATAGAGATCCATTCCTTATGATGATGATTCTTGAGGCCCAGAACTTCTTGACACGTTGAAGTTAATGCTTCTTTGATACCTTTCCAGTTGTCCTCCATACTAGTTTCTTCGTCCTTCAGTAGATCCTGTAAGGCTTGGAACCTGTTGTTGAGAGCTATCTTGAATTCGTTGAGTTTGTCAGTATCTCGAAGAAAGGCTGCATTGAACCTTTGTAGTGCTGTTTGTCCACTTGTCCAGTTCTTTTTTAGCTTCAGTTTTAAATTGGCCACAACTAGGTGGTGATCTGAATCTATGTCAGCTCCTCTCCTGGTTCTCACATCTTCCATTATCCTTCGGAACTTTTTATTGATGCAAATATGATAAATCTGGTTCTCTGTGTTGTGGTCCGGTGAGATTCATGTAACTGTGTGTATACGTTTGTGTGGAAATATTGTGTCCCCTATGACCAATTTGTTGAATGCACACAGACTTGCAAATCTTTCTCCATTTTCGTTTCTCTCTCCCAGTCAATGTAGTCCCATGATATCTTCATATCTGGTGTTGTCTATTACGACGTAAATTGAACCTGCAGAACACTGGATAAAACTATTTTGTAATAAGTTTCCCTATTTGTACTCGAACCGCGTCTTTTAATTTTTAAAATATATCTGCCGTGCCAGTACGTTGCGTTCTTACTTCACAGGCATTTACCGGTTCTGATTGTTATGTTGTTGTTTCAGATCGCTCCTGTTTCCAAGTGAACGCTAATATAACGTGCTTTAAATGTCATTTTGGCATTATAGACCGAACGTTAAATTGCACCGTCTATTTTATGTGTAAAATTGATTCCAGCATCATTCTATTGCTTGACTACTTTATATTTTTTATCAGAAAGGGTTTTGTGGAGATTTTAGTAATTTCGATAGTTGAAATGATGAGTGAATTGAAGCTGGGCCACCATGGAAAACCTAGAATAAATGGAAGGCCGTTCCGTCCTAGTATGGGACTCCTCGGCAGTGCGCATCCACGATCCCAGTCCCCGCGAGAGTCGAACCCAGGACCTACCTGTCTCGCTCGCGAGCGCCTAACCATTAGACCACTGATCCGGCCGGCAATCGACGGTGTTAATATCTAACTTCAACCAATCCACGAAATCGCGCCACCGTCTAACATTGATATCTCACAACAGACCTGATTGAACTCCACTGGTAACGGCTTCTCACTAGAACTCCAGGAAATATTCTTTGTTAATCAACTCTGGTTATAAGTTGTTTTCAAATTTTGATATTTGGTCAGATAAATGAATCAAGTATATCATGTGATCGAGTATTATGGTCTATTGAGGCGATTGCTGTAACATATAGTACCCAATCGAGTGTTTGTTATGTTTTGTGAACCCAATTTATTATTTATTATAATAATAATAATCTATTAGTATTAACTTACCTAATTGTGTAGAATCCTTTACTGTGTCTTCTTTTTCTTTGCTCAATGATTTTTCTCGAATACTAATTATTTCATCATAGACTTTCATATGTTCTTCACTTAATTTATTCATACGTATTGAAGTTACACAGTGACCACTACAAAATGCTTTGACAGTTATACGATCACAATCTAACGGCTTTATGAATCTGTCAAAGTAAATTGTTAATAATACGGTAATTAAAAACTTATATGAAATTAGAAAGATGATAGTGAGATATGGATGGTGGTTAGCAACGTAATCTAGGGCACACGCTTCGTTCTATTTAAGACTCGTTAGCTAGCTGCACCTGGATGAGTATATTGGAAACTAGGCAGTATTGGATAAGTTTTCCTTCTTAGTGTGAAACTATTCACCAGTGTGTAGTTTGCTACTACACTTAGGATCTAAGTCCATGTTCCACTGAAGAAGTGATGTTTACGTAAAATTGATTCAAAATCCGAAAGTTTAATTTTCCTATCTTTATTCAGTAATGTTATAGTTTAAATATCATTCACTTTCACGTTATCAGGATACTAAAGTAATTGTGGACGTGATTAATTACACTATTGAAATACTAAGGAGAATGATAATGTCTACCATATAACACTAGTTTAGTATTACTGAATATTTTAAAGAATAGTTAAGTCAATAGTTTATCCGATTGTTAACCAAATAATAACACCGTTGGATGCTGGTTCATTGATCTAGATGTTAAGCGTCCACACGCCAAACTGACACCCCTGGGTTGAATTCCCATGTACAGGATAGTGAATGCGGGCTGCTGAGGAGTCCCACATTAAAACGAAACGGCCGTCCAATGCTTCCAGTTTTTCAATGGTGGTCTAGCTTCAATTTACTCATGATCCCAACTATTCAAATTACTACAATCTCCACAAAACCTTTTCTGATACTAGATCATATATGTTTATATTTCTTTTATCATAAGCCTTCTTTTGACTTAATAACGATTTGTTATTCTTAATTTATTCCCATTCTTTTATTTGGAGTCCAACCCCTACTCATAAACACATTTGGCTTAATCTTGTATAGTTGCTATTTTTCATTTTGATGGTGTGATGTGGTTTAGTTTGTTTTTATATATAAACTACGTATTTGGAATATATTATTTATACAGTAGTGGCTGACTATTATGTTCTGGACCCAATGGGGGTGGCAAGGAGGAGTGCAGTTATTTTATCGAGGATCAATAAGGATAGAGAGTCGACGGAAGGCTACGAGTGATGGTCGGTTTTTCATTGGTTAACGAAGAGACAAGACCGTAGAGATCAGTATTTTCATTGGTGATTTTATGAAATGATATTAGACAGGGTCATAACTCATTAAAAATGACATTTGGATATTCACTTTTATTCACATAATAGAAGTACAATTTCTCTAATGTAATAAATGAGCCTAAAGCTGATCTCAGTAAGAATGTTTAGTTTATATCTCATCAGTCATTTTTATTCAACAAAAAAGTAGTTATCAGTATACGGTTGTGGAGATTATTAGGCTTTTGATTGAGATCATGAACCGATTGCTGTTAGACCACCACTGAAAACCTGGAAATACTGGACGGCCGTTTCGTTCTGTCTCGCGACTCCTCAGCAGTGAACATCAACGATCCCGCTCGCAAGATTCAAACTCAGGGTTTTCAGTCTCGCGCGCGAACACCTAACTTCTAAACCACTGAGTCGGCAGGTATCCAACGGTGTTAATATCTAACCTCAACCAATCCAAAAGTAGTTGAAAATTTGAACAAAATATCGAATCAAAACTAGGCATCTTATGTCATACCATTTAGTGTTTTCACAAAGACTGATAAACCTTATGATGTTTATCAAGCAAATTATACCTTTGGTTTCAATATCTTGAATAAATTTAGTTTAGGTTAAATCTAATTACTATACTCTCACCTTAAACTATCAAATCCTCATACAATAGTCACTATTATAAAATGAATGATTGGAATTGTGTTTTTATTCAAAGCAGATTGTTTTTACTAAAGTGAATTCACTTACATAGACTACAATTGAATGTATACAGAAATAATCATTACAGAATTATTGTATGCTTATTCAATTTCATCTGGCTAACGTTGGTCATCTTATGTTGGGTTTTTTTTTGAATACATTTTTATACTACTTAAAAGCAAATTCAATAGTAACGATACAATAAAACGACATAAACATTTCACATATAAAAACGTTACTCAAAATTCAATCTTTTTATTTTGTTTTTGTTTCACACTTACACATTCTCTAATTTTTCTAATGCCAACCTATTTTTCTCAGTTTCCCAAGCTGTTTCTCTATAGACCAAATCAATTTCAGTTTCACGATCTTTGAGTAGGTCATATCGAATTTGTGGAACTAAATTGAACGCCTTGATTAATTTGATTTTTCAATTAGAATATCAAACAGGAATGCATGAGATTTATGTAACTTTTAAAATTAAAATCATTGAATCTTAGCATAAAATAACAATCATTAAAGGTAATAAATAGAAACATATGGAACTCAAAACAACTGTGTTGGGATATTCAGAAAAATATCCCAAAAATTATTGTGTTAAGCCTAATGCTATCCATGGACATGAAATGGTATCATCCCATTGGTCAATATTCATTTGACGTGTCATTTTCCTACTGGTCAATATTGTCCAAATGATATTTTCTATTTTATGGTACGATGTGGTCTGCTTGATTAGTATATAAACAGAGTGTGTTTGAAATATAGCGATTCATATATCCGAGGCTGAGACTTGCGTTCTGGTTTTAACTGGCTCGGCTAGACAGGGAGGCGGGACCAATCAGAACCCTAGGTCATTCTACGTGTTTGCGCGTCTTTGGTCCGATCAATAATTTGCTATCCTTTAATCAGCAGCATTTTCACGCCATAACAAACTGTCTATCAACTAATATCAAAGTCACAATCTTCAATACGAACATCAAGACAGTTCTACAGTATGGAGCTGAAACTTATAGAACTACCAAAACCATCATCAAAAAAGTACAAGTATTTATAAATAGTTGTCTACGCAAGATATTTAATATCCATTGACCGAATACCATCAGCAATAGTCTACTGTGAGAGAGGACAAACCAGCTTCAAGTTGAGGAGGAAAAGACGATGGAAGTGGATAGGAAATACATTATGGAAATCACTAAACTGCATCACGAAGCAAGCCCTAACTTGGAATCCTGAAGGAAAGTGGAAAAAGGAAGACAAACGAGCACATTACGTCGGGAAATAGAAGCACATATGAACAGGATGAATAACAACTGGGAATAGATAGAAAGAAGTGGCAAGGATTGCCCTGTATAAGGTTACATGGAGAATGTTGGTGGGTGACCACCTATGCTCCTCGACGAGGGGTAATAGGTGTAAGTAAGTAAGCAATAAATAGGAAACTGAAGATCTGTTGGAAGTCACTTAGAAATATTACATAATTCTAAAATTTGAGTGTACGTTATTAATTAGTACAGTTAGAAAAGAATCATGATAACGTATATAATTACATATATAGAATAAATTTGTTTGAATATTTGATTAATGACTACCTAATTATATTGAATATTCTTATGTGCTTGATGAATGCTGACTTGTAAAATATCAAGAGTTTAAAGCTCATTATTGGTTATCTTCAGCTGTTCATTATCGAATGTACTGTTCACCATGTGCTCACTAGTGACCAGCTTCGTCAGGGAATTCTCGGAGTTCTAGTGAGAAGCCGTGATCAGTGGAGCTAATCCATGTCGGATAGAGACAGGTATCTACCTCAGTACAATGGAAGTTGGTCGCTCAATTTCGTGGATCGGTTGATGTTAGACACTAATACCATTGGATGCCGACTCAGTGGTCCAGTAGGTTAAGCGTTCGCGCGCGAGGCCTAAGGCCCTGGGTTCGAATCACGCGCTCTGGATCGTGGGTGCGCACTGTTGAAGAGCCCCACAATAGGACGAAACGGCCTTTCAGTGCTTCGAGGTTTCCAACGGTGGTCTAACATCAATCGATTCATGATCTCAATCAAAAACTTATTAATCTGTACAACCCCTATACTAGTATGCAACTTCAAAAGTTATCACTTACCAGTTCGTGTCGTGGACAATATAAAATTTTCATAAATTTTAAATCATGAACTGATCATAGTTAGACTACCATTGAAAGCCTGAAAGCACTGAACAACTGATTCGTTGTACTAAGTAACTTTTTAGGAGTGCGATTCCGCAACTCCTCATCCTGCAATCGAATTCACAACCTCTTGTTTCGTGGATAAATGCCTAACCCCTAGGCCACTAAACAGACAGACATCAAAGTTAGTGTACAACTCAATATTGAACAACCCTCATCCATTACTTGCGGTGGATAACCATATCATACCCAAAATGGTTGAAATTCCCAGATCATGACTTCTCACTAAAACCTCAGGAATTACACCTTGAAACTGGTCACTAATGAGCCCAGTGTATTACTTCGATGTTTTCAATGGTGTTCGAACTAAGATAAGTTTGAGATTTAAACCATGAAACTTATATACATATATATCTTACAGTTAAGCATTAAATATATTCATCAGTTCATTTTACCTCCGTTGGTAGACGAATTCTTTCTGGTAGGCGATTGTTTTGTTCTTTTAATTTTCTTAAACGATCTTTCAATTCTGTTACTTTTTGTCTGGTTTCCGCTTTCTTTCTTTCTGCTAATTCTACAAGACGATCATGTTCTGATTTTTGTTTAGTTTCTTCAATACTATAAGCTTTTGGATCAATGATGTCATCTACTTTTACACTAGTATCCTGTAAAATATTTAAAGGTGTTAAGTAAAGTATTTTTGTAATTTATCAAATTCGAAGTACACTATAATAATCAAATGAAAGTATGGTATGTTATAAACATAGATGGCTACCACGATCCTCAATACGTTATCGCTCTATTGCGATGAATTCAAAAACGTTTTTGAGGATGATCAAGTGAAGAATCGACACTAGAATACGAAAGTACAAATAGTTGACTTAAGTGATCTAGTGATATGGTCAGCGAAATATCTCATACTAGATGATATACAACTATATAGGGAATGATGGTAAATCATTTGATAAGGATGTTAATATTCATCGACTGAGATAGTTAGGCCACGTGCTACATATACTTGAACACCGATTACCACGACGCGCAATGCTGACCAGTGTTAGGGATGGTTAAAAGAAAGTTAGGGGAGGCCAAACCAAAACATGGCATCAATCCATAAAGTCACAAACTTCTCCTCTATGCCATGTTAGTATATGCAGACTACTTGGTTGAGTTCCGAGTGACTATCGTAATCAATGGTTGGAGACTCCGAATAACATGGCTCAGATTCGATCACAATGGCGTAGATGTATACACTCTTTGTCATCCCATAAACTATGAGATTAAAATCACTTCATATATTTCTTTCTACGGACTAATTCTTTCTTCCCGTACTATTTCCTGATATGTAATCTTTCTTTTTTATATTACCACCATTAGCTTAAGCACTCCTATGAATCCGGTGTTCATCTTGTTGTGCTAATGAGGCATGGTAACTTGGACCGATGCATATATGTGCCTGGTCCTACGTTGTAGCTGACTGATTGATGATCTCTGTGAAGTGAAGAACCTAACCGATACATATTTGTATTAGATACTTGGTTGATTCTATACCTATATTTACCCTTTTTTGTAATAATTAAAATTGATTCTGTAAATTGCATTAAACAAATTGATTATCAATTCTGTTTACTTTGTGGATCTTATGTAATCTGTTCTTACAGTATCTATGATTATCATACAATTGGTAAGAGATTATGTCACTAGATTAATTAATGTAAATATATAGATGTGAATTTTTGTAATCCTCGAATATCTGACTACAGTTAGATCGCATGATTGATTGTTATTGAAGCACACATGTCGCCATTCCTCGTCGTATATGATCATCGACTTAAATCATGTTAGTGAATAACGGAATTAGAATAAGTCAAATATGAGAATGAGGCTTGAATACGTATATTTCATACAATCGTTGATCCAGATAAATGAGGGAAGAAAAAACGAAGCAAAGCGAAATGACGAACAATAGAGATGGCGAACGAGTCAAATCAATTTAACCAACAGTGTGTAGTAAACCTGCTTTTACCAAAAGAACGCGATTGATTAAATGGGAACAATCATTATTATACTGGTTTATTATTATAACCAATTGTACCAGTGATTGTTTTACTGTGTTCGTTTATTTAACTGTGCTAAAGACAGCCATATTACTGCTCTATTATCTTTTGATTGTGACCTTGCACGAGTTCGGTTACGCTCACTAACGACACTTGTACTCCTTTGGCACGATCTCGGTATCCTTTCGATACCACGAGATCGCCAAAAAATACATCTCGACTACAGCCATCAACTACCTTCTGATATTTGTCTTACGGGGGATTTTATCGGTTAACCGGCACGTAGTCTTCTTGTAGTAGAGTTCATAGTCAACCGTGACTCGACACCACGCTACAAGTGAATCGATATTTATAGTCAAACCAAAACTAAGTTACTGACATGTGATGGGTAACATAGATGATGCACAGATACATAGCCCTTACAATAAAAACGGACAATGATAACAAGCGAATAATTTAACAAGGTCAAAATATGATTCAAGAGGAACGAATAGATTGGTATGTCCAGAAGATAGACTAAGCTGAGTAAGATTAACATAGCAAACGACACTACAAAATAGTTGATATAACTCTTCAAGATAATATTGGACACTCAATGATAAAATATAGAACCCTTCGATTCGAGTTAGTTACACATAATCAACAAAGTGAATTATGATTTGAAGAGGATGGATACATTCAAGGAATCCAAACTCTCCGAATCTAAATAATTAACAAGCTAAATTGATGTGAAAACTATACTAATTATAATGGAGATCATATTAGTACATCCTTGTCCCGATTGAAGCTGCTACCTTGACGCGGTGGTCGGGCTTGCCTATCGTGATGACCCAACCGAGCTATATTGGCTGGAACATATGTTCCTGCAGGTTCTACCATGCCAGGCAGGTCGATTGGTGAACGGTAAGACTAAAAGCAGCAACTCAAGGTCTGAGGGCGAAGTCGTACTGCTGACTGTAGAGAGGTGTGACAGCAGTAAGGTGTTTCCCTCGGACAACCAGCATGACAGCGATGCTGCCTTTTCACAAGGAGGGGTGGGGTTAGAAAAGGTCGACCCTAAAAATGTCACACCTCACGGATTTCCGTCTCCGGCGGTAAGGCCCTTTGAAGAACGGAGGTAACACGTCAAAAACCTTCCACAAAAAGGCCGTGCGCGACCGGCCTCAAGCAGTTGTCCCTTGGGCTCTGCGGTCACGCTCCCAGGTCGTCAAGACCAACACTAATCCAATTTCCTTTTCAGGTTCCTCAAGAAACACCCTTCCACGGTGTGGGCAGCCGGGAAGTGATATCAGCCCTCATACCCGTAACAGTACAAGAGACCAAGGTGGTCACATTCAAATCCTTCCTACACCTCTTAATACCTCTCTTATCTCCCCGACTAACCCTCCTCACGTCTCTTTATCACCTCGCACCGCTAGGGCAAACGATTCGAGTACGTGGAACGCCATTCCTGGTCTCCTGAAACCACTCTCTAAACTACACGTAGGAGCTTTTAACGTACGAACACTGTGTCAAATAGGACAGCAGGCTTCCTTAGCTAGGACTTTAGAATCTCGCGCCATCGATGTGTGCTGCGTCTCCGAAACGCGCATACAGGATCCGAGTAGTGTCATTCATTTGACCTCACCATGCCAAAATAAAGAACCGACTCGATTTACGCTTCGTGTATCTGGAAGCCCTGATTCTGCTTCCCGTGGCCTCGCCGGCGTAGGTATGGCATTGAGTCCTAGGGCAGAACTAGCTCTCTTAGAGTGGATCCCAGTAGACAGTTGTTTGTGCGCTGTCCGACTGAACAGTAAGAATCCGGAAAGATAGGGACACTCATCGTTGCCTCTTCGTCGTCTCTGCCTATTCTCCCACTGACTGCAGCTCAGATGATGTAAAAGATGAGTTCTACAGAAAGCTTTCGGACCTTCTCCGAAAAGTTAAGCGCTCGGATGTAGTAATAGTGGCCGGTGACTTTAATGCTCAAGTATGTAAACTAAGCGATAGGGAAAGACACCTAGGTGGATCCTATGGTGTCGTGGCTCAAAGAACAGATAATGACGACCGTCTGTTGCAGTTATGCTCGGATAACCGCCTGTTCCTTGCAAATACTAACTTTAAGCATAAGGAAAAACATCTTTTAACATGGAGACCCCCTAATTCGTCCCAACGTTGGACCCAAATAGATCACATCGCTATCAGCCACCGATGGAGGGGCTCGATAGAAGACTGTCGCTCATTCTGAAGCACATGCCTAGATTCAGATCATGCTCTAGTGCGAGCGCGTATTTGCTTGCGTCTTACTGGACGTAGGAAAGACGCTGCAAGGGAACCTCTTAGGGGCCTACTTAATGATAGTCAAGCTAAGAGTATATTTCAGGAACAACTAGGCAAACAGTTAGGCAGCCATGTATGTGATGCCCAACCCGATGCAGCATGGAATGATATCCGAAAAGCTTTGGAAACAGTAGTGATATCTGCTAGTAAGGTAAACCAGAAGGTTAGGGAGCAACACTGGATCTCAGCAGCATCTATCTCACTGATAGATGCTAGGAAACTCATTCCACCTGGCTCTGAACATAATGAAAAGCGGAGTCAGCTTAAGCGCAAGCTGACAAGAAGTCTACGCAATGATCGCGAACAGTGGTGGGTAGCGAAAGCAAGAGAGATGGAAAAGGCAGCGGCAATAGGTAATAGCAGACAATTGTTCAGACTCGTTAAGGAAACCGGAATTAGGAACCCGACCGTTAGCGAAACAATCTCAGAGAAAGATGGACATATTATACATTCTCAATCCAGGAGATTGGATCGATGGACAGAACACTTTAGGGATCATTTCAACTGGCCTTCAGCCACACTTCGGTTTCCCATGATCTCCAGTCAACCTGAATGGCAAGTTAATGTAGGTTCTCCGTCCCTTTACCAAGTTGAAAAAGCCATAGGAAATCTGAAACGAGGGAGAGCAGCAGGCCCTGACATGTTTACTCCTGAGATTTTGAGGGATGGTGGTCCAGTATTAGCAATGAGATTAACCGAGGTCTTAGGTAGAATTTGGGAACTGGACGTAATCCCATCTGACTGGTCTCAAACACTGATTGTGCCAGTCTATAAGAAAGGACAAAAGTCCTCTTGTGACAATCAAAGAGGAATCAGTTTGACTAATATAGTGTCTAAAATTTAAGCTTCAATAATACTTCGACGCCTAATCAAAGCTCGTGAAGAGCAGATTAGAGAAAACCAGGCTGGTTTTCGACCTGGACCTGGTTGTATAGATCAGATATTCACACTACGTAAGGTTCTAGAACACAGACACACATTCAGACGCCCCACAATGGTAGTATTTCTCGACCTTAAGGCGGCATTCGACTCTGTTGATCGTGAGGTTCTATGGCAGTGTTTGTCACTGAAAGGAGTACCAAACAAGTACATTAACCTTATAAAGGCTCTCTACTCGAACACAACTGGTAGAGTGAGAACTTATGGCGAACTGTCATCAGAATTGATCACCTCAAGTGGTGTTCGTCAGGGCTGTCCACTCTCCCCATTCTTGTTCAACTTTGTGGTCGACGTACTTTTAGAGATAACACTCTCCTCATCTAAATTTCCAGGGGTTGAACTTCTACCAGGAGGTTCACTTGTTGACTTAGAATATGCAGATGACATAGTTTTATTTGGTGAAGACGCTGACAAAATGCAGAGTCTTTTGACCACCCTAAGCAACAATGCAAGCATGTTCGGGATGCGATTCTCTCCCTCGAAATGCAAAATGTTGCTTCAGGACTGAAGTAGTTGAAGTAGTTGAGCGTGTCGACCGCTTCACTTATCTTGGAAGTCTCATCAGCCCTTGTGGTCTGGTGTGTGACGAAGTCTCAGCACGGATACAGAAGGCTCGACTAGCTTTTGCCAACTTGCGTCATTTATGGCGTAGGCGAGATATCCGTCTATCAACCAAAGGACGTGTTTACTGTGCAGCAGTTCGTTCCGTCCTACTTTATGGCAGTGAAACATGGCCGGTAAGAGTAGAGGATATCCGTAGGCTACTAGTATTTGATCATAGGTGTCTTCGAAACATTGCTCGTATATCATGGGACCATCGAGTAAGTAACACAGTTGTTAGGAAACGGGTACTAGGTGAGGATGGCAAATCAATTGATGAAGTAGTGAAACTTCATCAGTTGAGATGCCTGGGACACGTGTTACGTATGCCCAATGACCGACTGCCTCGACGTGCTATGTACAGTGGTATAGGAGTAGGTTGGAAGAAAGCTAGGGGCGGCCAAACCAAAACATAGCACAAGTCCATGAAGTCACTGACAAGTGAACTGAGTCATGTTGGTAGGTGTAGACTACCTGGTTGGGGACCGGGACCGCGAGATGATAGCAACCGATGGTTAGAGACCCTGAATGACATGGCTCAAAATCGTTTGCAATGGCGCAGGTGCATCCACTCTCTATGTTCTCCCAAATTCTAATCTTCTGAATTCTTCATGTCCTTTTTTTCCTCTTTCTAAATTTATTTCACTGTATTATACTCTTTAAATAACATCTTCAGACCCTAATCTTCCCGATTACTGCTTATACTCTTATTACCTCTACCACTAGGGATTTGAATCGACAACTGCATCTCTGTGCTAATGTGGTGTGGCAACTCGAACTGATGTACGTACGTACGAAGTTCTACGTTGTTACTGACTGACTGACTGAGTACATCCTTGTTGTCATAGTGATGTAAATGAGACAGAAATGAACATAAATAATATTTGAAACTTCATTTACTAGCGACCACCTATATTTGTAAGTAAATCTATTCGTTCATTATCCGTTATGTTTCAATTGACTGTTAGGCTCTGTTGACAGGATATCGTCAGTAGCAGCCTACTGTGGGAGACAACCAAACCAGCTTCGAGCTGAACAAGAAGTTAGGAAAAGACGTTGGAGGCGGACAGGACAAATATTATGGGAATCGTCAAATTGCATCATGAGGCAAGCCGAAACTTAGAATCGTGAAGGGAAACGGAAAAGAGGAAGGCTCAAGAACACACTGCATCGAGAATTGGAAGCATACATGAAAAGGATGAATAGCAACTGGAACCAACTGGAAAGGATTGCTTGGGACAGAGTTGGATGGAGAGTGCTGGTTGGCGGCCTATGCTCCTCTATAAGGGGTAGCAGGCGTAAGTAAGTATGTAATTGTTGGGCTATAAATATAAGCTAAAATAACGGCTGAATTTAATCCATCACTTCTTGTGTATAAAATTTCGAACAGAATACTTTATTATCAGTTTAGGCGTTGTGGAGATTGTTAACTTTTTGAGTGAAATCATGAGTCAATTGAAGCTAGACTACCATGGTGGTCTAAACTGATAATTACCATGTGCTCACTAATGACTAGCTTCGTGAGAAAATTCTCGGAGTTCTGGTGAGAAGCCGCGACCAGTGGAGCTAATCCGTGTCGGGTAGAAACAGGTGACTACCTCAGTACAATGGAAGTTGATCGCGCAATTTCGTGGATTGGTTGAGGTTAGACATTAACACCACTGGATGCCGGCTCAGTGGTCTAGTTTGTTAAGCGCCTGGCGCGAGACTCATAGGTCCTGGGTTCGAATCTCGCGGGGTGCGGGATCGTGGGTGCACACTGCTGAGGAGTCCCATACTAGGACAAAACGACCGTCCAGTGCTTCCAGGCTTACCATGGTGGTCTAGCTTCAACTGACTCATGATTTCAATCAAAAAGAATGCTTTATAATTGACCAGTCACCAAAGTAAATGAACACATTTACATTGTTTACTGATGAATATACATGTGTGAGATAAGCAGTCAGAATTATCCATCATATGGCCAAATGAAATGAATCCCAACTAATTTCTCTTTATGAAAGTTCTTTTTATCATGAATTATGACTTACAGCAAGTTAACTAAAAATAAGACGGAGTGGAAAAACTTTTCTGTCATACTGTGAACATTGGTAACCTCTTTAAAACTCACAAACCAAAGCTGCTTATGAGGGGTGAGACTATAATTTATAGACGAACCAATCACGATTAAGAGAATAGGTCTCGGATTTTGACGTGAACTTCACTGATCCATTTGTCTAAATAACGTTTTGACATTATAACTGATATCAGTTCGTAATGAAAAGCCTTAAATCTAATTCCTAACCTATAACCATCAACTGTAAATCATGATCCTTATTCTTCACACATGTTTATAACCTCCATTTAGCCCTCGACATCCTCAAAGTTACATTAACGTTGCTTAAAGGTCGTTCAAAAGTTATAGTCTCATCGCTGTTTAACATCAGTATGCGATTATTCATGATGATGATGATGATGATGTATCATACCGGGATGCGTCTCCATGAAAATAAAAAAATATTTCAATTCTGGAACATATGTGGTTTTGAATTACTTTTTCAATTTATAAATTAACTTACAAATGTAGATGGAATTCGTGCACGATACTCTTTAATTTCTTTATCTTGCATTTCTTCTGTCATAAGTTCACAGACAAAAAGTGTTCCATCACTTCCAGCGCTTAAAACAAATCTTTCAAAAGAAATAGAATAAACATAGACATAACTATTCAGCAAAATAAGTTATTGTTTATACGGTGGTTAATCTCTAGTAAGTATATTTACAAAAAAAGATCTAGTCTGGACGACACATCAGTGGTGGAATATTAACCTCCATAAGGAACAGTTTAATTACTTACTTATATACTTACGCCTGTTACCTCTCATGGAGGAGTATAGGCTGCCAACCAACACTCTCCATCTAACCCCGTCCCAAGCAGTCCTTTCCAGTTGGTTCCAGTTGCTATTCATCCTTTTCATGCCTGCTTCCAACTCTCGATGTAGTGTGTTCTTGGGCCTTCCTCTTTTCCGTTTCCCTTCACGACTCCAAGTTTGCGATTGCTTCGTGACGCAGTTCGATGATTTCCATAATGTATGTCCTATCCACCTCCAACGTCTTTTCCTAATCTTCTTTTCGAATGGAAGTTGGATTGTTTTCTCCCACAGTAGGCTGTTGCTGATGGTATCCGGTCAACGGATATTGAGTATCTAGCGTAGACAATCGTTTATAAACAGTTGTATCTTTTTGATGATGGTTGTGGTAGTTCTGCATGCTTAACTAAATACAGTAGAACTGTGTTGACATTCGTATTAAAGACTGTGATTTTTATATTGGTTGACAGACATTTGTTTTGAGTTGCATATGTTCTTCAATTGTATAAATGCGGCCCTTGCTTTGCCGATGCTCGCCTTTATGTTTGCATCGTATCCTCGATGTTCATCGGTGATGCTTTCCAGGTATGTGAAAGATCCCACATTTTCCAGAGTTTCTCCGTCAAGTGTGATTGGGTTGGTGTTCTCCGTGCTGTATTTGAAGATCTTGCTTTTCCCTTGTGTATGTTGAGGCCCACTGATGCAGTAGCTAAATTGTTTAATAGCTATTTAAAATCTTTGTTGATTTAACTGGCTAAAAGCATATAATCCAGCATTCATGACAATTTCCTGGCACTTATTTGCTCTTATATGATACTTTTATCTGTCTAGCAGTAAGTCCAGAAACTTAGGACAATGAGAATGAATGACAGAGAACAAATTAATGAAAAAATATTGTATCTTGATGGGATTTAAGAACTTGAACAGACGTTGGATTGATAGCCTAAGTCATAGCTTGAATCGAAGAAAACATTGGCTTCATGAGTGTGTGTTATTTTATTTATTTGAACACATAAATATTGGTACAAAGGGGCAACGAATACATATGCGCCACACAAGTCACTTGATTTGCGTGGGGACTGTGATACTTCCTGGATGCCCAGACTGAAGCAGGTATATTTTTAGGGGGCCACACTCAGAGCTTTCAACCTAAAGGTCTGGTCCACAAGGCAGTGGAGCAACGTTACACGATGCAGTCACATGGTAGTCTGTGACCAACGAAAGCAATTTGTCACCGATGTGAGAAACACAGAATCTACAATCAAGCCTATCTTGTATTACTATTTTCATGCTATCTCTGACGTAAAATAAGACAGTGTATAAGATGATATACAAAGTTTCAGAATGCATAATATTTATATTTCGAATGAATACTATACTTTTAATAAATACCAGCTATCTACAATGTCTATCAATCGATATGGTTCAGGGGAATTACTGAATTAATGAAAATGAGCTTCTATTGACAAAATACAAATCGACAACGAATATCATTGTCAGCCTTAATACCCTATTTGGCGAGACTATAATTTATGGATGACTTTTAAATGAATCTTAAATGACCTTGGGTCAATCAGCAAACAGTCAGTATAGAGTAAAAAGATGTTATATAAAACCAAGGAAATAAAGTGGATACACTTCTTATACATGGGTCAAAAACTTGTCAATGTTAGAAAGAGGTTCAGAGGTTCTAAAATCATAATGCATGCAGTAGAGGAAATCATGCAAATGGCTACAGAATAGTCGGCCTCTAGAGCCATGATAATGTCGCAAAAACTCTTTCAGTCTCGAGCACATAGATTCAATATTGTTTGTGTGCACTCCGGTTGTTGAGAAAATAAAATCGCATTTGTGGATAACGACACGATGCACATAACCAAGTCTATGTAGGACTCAATGCGCTCTCCAACCATCCGTATATATTGTAGTACCTAGGTGCAGCCAGTGTTACTGGTGCTTTTATTATCCAGTTCGCAATAATTGTCATAATTTGCCTTAATTAGGAATTATATATAGTTTCCACTACGAACTGACATCAGACATAATGCCAGAAATCTATCTAGCCAAATGGATGAAAGGCTTTCACGCCAAAACCCGAGGTCTGTTATCTTATACCTGATTGGCTCATTCACAAATTATAGTCTCGCTGTTTTATCCGTTATAGCCGCTCAATTATCACGTTTTGTACAAAATTCCCTGTGAACCGATCGTACGTTAGCATGAAGCATTGGAAGTTGGCGTTGTGACCTTGGAATCCTTCAGACGTTTCTGATTGGCTCGTCCATAAATTATAATATCGCCATTCTTTATGTACATTATATATGCACAAATCACAAATATAACAAAAATGGATTGAATAGTTTATGTCGATTGGTTGAACTGTGGTACATGCCACTGACGTCGATCGATATAAGTAGTATGTATTATCAGTCGTAAGTGAAATGCCTAGCGGCATATGGTTAAGAAGATCAAAGAAAAGAGGATGAGAATAGAGAATGACTGATGTAGAAACGAATGAGCAATGAAGTCTGAGATGATTCATTGACATTTTACAAATGAAGTATTTACTTTATGTTTCTCTGATTTTACTATAATCAAATACATTTGATTGTCCTCACTTGTGTTCTCGTTCACTACACAACGATAACATAAGCTGTTCGACGAAATTATTCAAGTCGCTGAACAATATGACATAACAATTACATAATGTATGTTTTAAGTCTTTGATAATTATAAGCGTTAGATAGATGGAGGTAACCAATAAATGTCTTGAACTAAAGTTTTGTATTTATTTAGGTATGGCTATCAAAACATCCTCTTTCTAAAAAGAAAATCATTTCCCTCAAGGATTTGACCCCATGTTACCCAATGTTACAGGAATAAGCTTTATCATGGAATCATTCAGACTATGGCTGAACTCTTTTAGAACTGGGATGTTTGTATTCATTCAATGTTTATTTTTGATAGTATAGTATTAGCTCATATACATATTTCCATCATCTGATGAACTTTGATCGCTTATTATTTCATTCATTTCCACTATGCATTTACAATTGTACAGCTATGAAATTAAATTTACTAAATGAAGTAGTAATAAGAAGAAAGAAAGGTAAAGTTGAACAATAAAATACATAGTACCAGCCCACTAAGTCACTGACTGTTCTTCTAATTTATGTTGATAGGTGTAAACGACCTGGATGATCAACGATTATAGTGGTGAATATATATTCACTCTATATCTTTATCTAAATTATATTATTTATTTAAACACATGAACATCAGTACGAGGAGACACCAAATAGATGTGCGCCACATAAATCATTCGATTTGTGTGAGAGCTGGAATACCACCCGGGTGACCAAAACGAAGAACGTGGTTTTATTAGGTGGCCACACCCGGAGCCTTTGACCTAAAGGTCTAATCCACAAGGCAATGGAGCGACGTCACAAAATGCAGTCCCATAATAGAAGGTGACTAACAATAAATTTATTCGCCATTTGTTTCCTTAGGATCCTGGAGCCCATGTGTACCATTGGTTTTGAATCAAGGTGTTATATCCAGTGAAGATTAAATTACAGGTAACTTCCGAGGACTATTCATGGACTAATATTCTATAAATATTCTTATTGTATAACTACTCAACAATTACACTATGGATATTTATATTCCTTTTATGATAAGCTTTATTTTGGCCTATAATTTATTATTGTACGATTTACGGTTCTTAAGTTATGTTCAGTTTATTAACTACTGTCTCCCACATTCACAGCCACTTTTTGGGCTTATTTGTGTACAAATATTATTTCCTATTTTATGGTACGTTGCGGTCTGTGTGATTGATATATAAACCAAGTATGCCTGAAATAAACGATCTGGTCTGATCTGCTTTGATTCGGAAGCTGGTATCTTGTTCTGGACTCAAGTGGAAGGGCTCGTAGGACATAGGACCAATAAGGACGCTAAACTGCCCACACCGGTTGAAAGTCATTGGTTGGCCTAGTGTGAAGATTCGTATAAGTCGTATCCGGATTGGTAGATAAGTCGTGTGATCGAAAAGTCAGACATCCAAGGCCATAACAATTGGCGACGGGGTGGAGGAAAGTCTTGAACCCTCAACTTCAAGGTCTTAACACAAGGTTTTCCAACTCTCTTAGGTGGACTCTCCGTGTCCACCAACCCTGTTAAAGCGTCGGAAATTCGCTCTTTCACCTCTCGATTTCGTAGAAAACATCCTTGGCACCATAAGATAGTGAGTAGGACCTCGCTGTTAGTGGTTGTATGCAAATGGCCATTTAAGAGGATTTCGAGAGAGGGAGAGCTGCCTCTCTCCAATCTTGGCCGTACCAGGGCATCTAAATTATAACTTTCAATCCGTCTGTTATTCATTGTTAATTTCATGTCATTGTGCTAATGTAGTATAGACAAATGGACATTTGTGTCACATCTGAAACTTATCATGTCTAATGACTACCTAATTAAGAAGAAAAATGTCTTTATCACTATAATAATAACAATAATAATAACCATAATAATATTGACCACAATAATAATGATCATAATATTAATAATAATAATGAGAACAATGTTATTAATTGAACAAGTACCAACAGATTAGAAAGAAAGATACCTGATCAAAATACCGAAGAAAGGCGATCTCAGCAACTGTGATAACTACAAGGGCATCACTCTTCTCTCAATACCGGGAAAAGTCTTCAACAGGGTATTGTTAAGCAGAATGAAGGACTGCGTAGACGCCCATATTCGTGACCAACAGGCAAGATTCCGTAAGGATAGATCCTATACAGACCAAATCGCAACTCTACGGATCATTGTGGAACAATTAATTGAATGGAAATCATCACTCTACATCAACTTCATTGACTACGAAAAAGCATTTGATAGCGTGGACAGAACAACACTATGGAAGCTTCTTCGACACTACGGCGTGCCTCAGAAGATAGTCAAAATCATACAGAACTCGTATGATGGATTACACTGCAAAATTGTGCATGGAGGACAGTTGACAAAGTCGTTCAAAGTGAAGACCGGTGTTAGGCAAGGTCGCTTACTCTCACTCTTTCTCTTTCTCCTGGTGATCGACTGGATCATGAAGACGTCAACGTCTAAAGGGAAGCACGGAATATAGTGGACAGCTAGAATCCAGCCGGACGATCTACACTTTGTAGATGATCTGTCTCTTCTATCTCACACACAACAACAAATACAGGAAGAGAGAACCAGTGTAGCAGCAGTAGGTCTCAGCATACACAAGCGGAAAACCAAGATTCTTCAATACAACACAGCATGCAACAATCGAATCAGACTTGACGGAGAAGATTTGGAAGATGTAAAAGCCTTTACATATCTGGGCAGGATCGTTGGTGAACACGGTGGATCTGATGCAGATGTGATGGCGCAGATCGGGAAAGCAAGAGCAGAATATCTACAACTGAAGGGCATCTGGAACTCGGAACAACTGTCAATCAACACCAAAGTCAGAATTTTCAATACAAATGTCAAGAGAGTTCTACTGGATGGGACGGAAACTTGGAGAACTACGGACTCCATCATCAAGAAGTTGCAGGTATTTATTAACAGTTGTCTACGTAAAATACTTCGAATCCGTTGGCCGGACACTATCATCACCAATCTACTGTGTGAGAGAACAGATCAAATTCGAGTGGAGGAAGAAATCAGGAAGAATTGCTGGAAGTGGATAGGACATAGATTGAGGAATGCACCCAATTGCGTCACAAGACAAGCCCTTACATGGAATCCTCAAGGCTAAAGGAAAAGAGGAAGACCAAAGAACACATAGACATGAGAAAAATGAACAAGAAATGGATGGAACTAGAAAAGAAGGCCTAGGACAGAGAAGGTTGGAGAATGCTGGTCGGCGTTTTATGTTTCATTGGGAGTAACAGGCGTAAATAAATAAATAAATTAGTAACAATGATATAATTTCATCAAAGAAAACATACTTTTCATCATATGTAAGCGCTATACGATTGACACGTCCACGTTCATTATCATGTAAACGATACATCCAATATCCTTTAAATTTTGTTAAATCAAATGGTTTATCTAATAATTGCATACATATTGTACCATCATTAAAACCAATCAATAAACGATAACCAGAATTACAAAATGTCCAAAATGTAATAGATGTATCTTTTTTATTTAATATACAAATTGCATTATTTGGTTCAGTTGCATAAATTCGATCTAATAATGTAATATGATTTGGATCAATTATTTCTAGATTATCGATTTTCTCATTATTGATTATTGTATTATCATCTTGAGATTGTTCTAAATTTGTTACCTTGGTAACTAAATCATTTAATTGATTTTGTTCTTCTGTTTGTTTATTTGTTTTACGTAGTTTTTCAATGGTATCATCAATAGTTAATAATGGACCACCTAATTCACATTTATATAAATATCCTTTATCGAAATCATCCTAAAATTGAGAAAGTAATAACCAGGAATTATTACTATCATTGATTTATTAATAATAAACTTCAAAGTGTCATATCTTCTTTGAAAATATAAATCACTTAGATATGAGTAGAATCGATAGACGATCTTTAAGCGACGCTAAAGTGACCCCTAAATGCTTTGGTACGGCCGAGAGTAAGGAGAGGCAGCTCTCCCTCTCTCGAAATCCTCTCAAAAGGCCACGTGCATACAACCAATGCCAGGTGTTATAGCCCAAAGCCGCCAGTCAGAAACAGCGAATTATCAATCGCATCAAGGACGCGTAAAACACGTGCGAGCAGCCTAGAGTTCTGATTGGTCCTGCTTTTCTAACACCAGGGAAGTCCTATTTACTGCCTTCTGATGCTACGGGGGTTGTTTACGAAATTGAGAGGACAACGAGCGAATGTTCGACGCTTTAGCCGGGTTGGTGGACATGGAAAGTCCACCTAGGAGAGTTGGAAAACCCCGATTCAAAACCAATGGTACACATAGGCTCCAGGATCCTCAGGCAATAAATGGCGTATGAACCTATTGTTGGTCACTGTTTACTATGGGACTGCATCTTGTGACGTTGCTCCACTGCTTTGTGGATTATATCTTTGGGTCAAAGGCTCTAACTGTGTCTCCCTTAAAAAACTACTTGCTTCGATTTGGGCACTCGGAAAGTATCACTGCTGTCACACAAATCGAATGATTTATGTGGTGCACATCTATTTGGTGTCTCCTTGTACCGATGTTCATGTGTTTGAATAAATAAATAAAAGAGACAATTCACCTACTCTCCAGTGTCAAAAGAGAATTAATTGAGGGATTCAGATTTATAGTTAAAATTTAAGGTTTTCATCACTAATCGGTATCAGCTATAATCCTAAAATGTCGTTTGACTATGTAGATGAATGAATTTCACACCTAAATCCAAGACTTGCTATCCTTAATTCCATTGGTTCGTCTACCGATTATTGTCGCTCCATTATGCAATTAGTGAGTTCAAAAATAGTTAAACTTATAAACGTATCTTTGGATTTGTGATGATTTAAGATTGTCATCATTATATGAATGTGCTTTCAAGCGCACTTTAGTATCTTCACTTCGATGATTGACTCTTGATCATTTTCCTTCGAGATAAAAAACAGTTCAGTTTCACATTACAGTGTATAAATTCAAGTTGTCATATATTGTAACAAACACACTTTTAAGATATAGTCATTGAACATGAACATGATACTATCACCATTAGATGCCGGTTCAGTGGTCCAGCAAGTTAAGCGTTCGCGCGTGAGACCGAAGGCCTTGGGTTTGATCCAAGCGAACGGGATCGTGGATGCGCTCTGCTGAGGAGTCCTACAATAGGACGAAACGTCCGTCCAGTGCTTCCAGGTTTCCAAAGGTGATGTAACATCAATCGGTTCATGCTCTCAATCAAGAACATGAAAGACTTCAATCGAAACTCAATTCAAAGCAACACAATATGCATTAAAACGACCTCATTAAGAATGTTGAATTTCGGTAAGAAAAAACTTTTAAAAAAACATCAGTCAATCCAATAGATATGAACTGAGTGAATGTCGTTTAGATATTTCTAATTGTTACTTTATGAACTGATGTTGATTAAATAAACATTGTTAGTCTAGAATAGCAACTGGAAAGGATTGTCCAGATTAGGGTTGGATGGAGAGTGTTTGTGGGCGGCCTATACTCCTCCACGAGGGGTAACAGGTGTAAGTAAGTAAGTAAATCTAGAATTACTGGAAAACTGTTTCATTTTGTTATGAAACTCATTAACAGTACATATTCACAACCACAGTAAATGTACAGATAAGGAGCTTTAGAATACATGGTAAGGATTTTATTGGTAGAGAAGTCAACTGGAATCTTACTGTCTGTATTTCCAATTTCTGTTAACCTGGAATACTGAGCCACTGTTAGTTATCAGTAATAGCTATGCCACTTTTGGCTTAGTTGAACTACACAAAACAAAGATTCTCCTTAGAGCTCGAAATCAATCATCAATAAGCTACAGACTAATATTCGGAATGTGACTTTGAATATATTGTTTATTATGTAAATAGTTTGTATCATAGTTAATTCAACAATTAATATGTATGAGCTCACTTAGTGTTAGCGGAATATAGATTAGATCAAAGCATATTCCATTCACTATTCCGTTGGTGCACGCTGATTGGCTAATTCTTATCCAATCAGTGCTAGTCGATACTTAGGGAAGGCTCTAGAATCTTCTCATGTAAAAAAAAAACTATAAATTTACTAACGTTTTTTCTTATTGTGCTTCTTACTTCTATTTACCCTTGTTATCGCAACACAATTTCTGGTTCAGGGACTTGTCGAGTGAACTGGTGCCCAAGAACACTAAGCAATAGGAATAGCTTGGTTGTAATATGAGAGAGTTATAACACCAAGATAGACAACTTCAATCGTTACAGATTCATTTGTAACAGTTTCTATGTTATGACACATCTGTCTGATTGATACAGACTTTTGGATAGGCTTTTTAGTAACTCATCCTATGACTGTTAAGTCATTTTTACCATTTTAATAACCTAATTCTTTTGAGAGGGAATTGTGACCTTCATTGGATAAACCTCTTATATTCATGTCCTACATTCATCTGTACTTATGATTATATCTGTACTATTATTATTTTATTGGATGCAAATAACCATGTTGCACTATTCATTATCAACTCTGAATAATAATCAAGGATTATAACGACTAATATTTTGAGTACACTTGCGATAGACTTTTACGTTCCCCCATTCATCGTTTATCCGCCAAAGTGAATATGCATGAAATATCAACATTCAAAGTAGTCGTATTCGACTTTCTTTTATCCGCGTTCTTATTAAATGAATTTGTTTACAGAACATGTACAACATACGTACGTTGTATATTTTCTTTATAGAACTAACAGTTTGATCATACTACAGTCAAACCGCGAGCATGTAACATTTATAATATAAAAAAAAACTTACTAGAGATACCCAAAATTGATTTGGTTCGCTTTTATCCAAACATCCATAAAGTAATGGTGATGGATTTGATGGATAAGAAGGTGTCCAATTAGCAATTTCAGACAGTACACCTTGATAAATAACCTCCTCGGCTAAAAGAAACATAATAAATATATAATTTCAGAAGGGGTTTTGTGGAGATTTTTTAGAAATTTCAATAGTTGAAATCATGAGTCAATTGAAGCTAGATCATCATGGAAAACCTGGAATCACTGAGCAGCCGTCTCGTTCTGGTCTATTGTGAGACTGTATCTTACTGAAGAAAATGGTGGACGGTGGCTCAATTTCATGGATTAGTTGAAGTTAGACATTAACACCGTTGGATACCGGCCGGTCTCAGTGGTCTAATAGTTAAGCGCTCGCGCTCGAGACTGATAGATCCTGGGTTCGACTCATGCGGGGGGTGAGATCGTGAATGCGCGCTGCTGAGGAGTCCTGTACTAGGACGAAACGGCCTTCCAGTTCTTCCAGGTTTTCCATGGTGATCTAGCTTTAATTGACTCATGGCTTCAACTATTGAAATATATGATAGTCATAATAATGGAAACATCAGAAGTTTTACAATTAAGTATCCATATCACAAATATATTACTTATGAATAATTAAAATGATCCTATTACCATCAATAGAAAATTGATCATAATTGTTATATCTAGAGCTTAGATTCTTATTATATCGCGTATAACTTGAACACCTCGAATGCTAGAACCAACCAAGTTGCAAATGAGAAGACAGAAGACAAGTGAAAGAAATGCCATCCCAAACAGGGGGTTATTAGTATTTGTTCAATAGGAAAGTTATGCGTCGAGATTCTGGAATTTTCTTCCAAAAGATGATTGGATAGAATATCTTTGGCTCTTTCTGAACATCTTGGAGCTTCCTCGAGCTCACCCATGGGCCGTCCTCACAATAATTCGTTTGGAAGTTTGATAAAAATTGAATGGATTATTTTAATTCATTGTCATCTTGATGAAATAAGTCTTCATTGATAAACAAACTGTCAAAATGATCAAATATGATCATTCAACCTTAAGATTTCATTATAATTTAATTGATCAACTTCATAACTACAAGAATAGAAACGGGTTTTAATTTTTTTTAAATTGATCCTATTGAAACGTTTAACCAAAACTACCGAGTTACTCTGGGAAACAAGGAAGGATCGGATGCATACGTGAAGGTGAGGATTGGCAAAGAAAAGACTGTCTTTCAACCAGTGCCAAAGTGACAATCTTTAATTCGAACGTCAGGACAGTCTTACTGTATGGAGTTGAAACTTCGAGAACTAATACAATCATCATCAAACATGTACAAGTATTTATAAATAGTTGTCTACGCAAAATACTCAATATCCGTTGACTGGATGCCATCAGCAACAGCCTACTATGGGAGAGAACAAACCAGCTTCCATCTTAAGAAGAAATTAGGAAAAGACGTTGGAAGTTGATAGGACTATACATTACGGAAATCACTAAACTGCATTACGAAGGAAGCCCTAACTTGGAATTGTGAAGGGAAACCGAAGAGAGGAACACCGAAGAACACACTGACAAGTCCCAAATATGACGAAACGCGCGTCCTGGATTCCAGCGCTAGCCACTATTCATCTTTGCAAATAATAACTATATCCAAAAGCATCATAACAAAGAACACTTGACTCTGGTACTAGTAACACAAAAAGTATGGGAACTGTTACCATTAAATACTGGTTTAATGAATATATGAAAATGTAAAGTAACTGTTAGATGTATTGAAAATCTGAAATTACGATATTAATCCAACAAAACAGTAGTGGTGTCATACATCATATTCTCAAAATGATCGGAAATGGAGCTTGTTGCTAATTCATTATTATGTTGGTCGTTTGAAAATTTCCATTGATGTTTAGGATTGCAGTTGACCAGTCTCTTATTGACATATGTGAGTCCTGTGAGGATTGCCTCGATATTGTTTTTAATAAAAGTCATTTTAAGCCGAGATGGATAGTGACTAGTAGTTGAATCCAGGATTCGTATCACATCCTATTTGGGACTCGTTAGCTGGATCTGCCTGCATCCCAGTGTTGACATTCACTTTATGACTTTACTGCTAGCCATCATCCACCTCTGTTTATTAATAAGTAGTGTAATTAATTTATAGCGACTCATGTGCAATTGAGTTTATTCTCATTTAACTCAGTTAAGCCCTTTTGCTAACTTATTTAGCGGACAAAGTCATCCTCACTATAACAACTTGTACTTTTATTATTATTGTTCTTACATGAAATATGTGTGAACGAACATTGTTTACCGCCTACGCAGATATTCATTCTGCCAACTTCATTATTAACTGCTCAATCTATTCGTTGTCTCATCCATATCCCTATATATATACATTTACGCTTACTACTACTGCTACCACTACCACTACTACTACTACTACTACTGCTACTGCTACTACTGCTACTGCTACAATCGTAGTTCGCTTGCTCATTCGTTTTGCCTCTCTGCTGTGTGGTCCGAATTATCTACTAAAGAAACTGTAATAGCTGCTTCTTTTTACCTTCTGATTTCAAACACCGTTGAAGATTATACGATAACGGTTCGAGGGTGATTATTTATCGAAGCACAGCCACTACAAACTTACGGAAGGAAACAAATAAAGAAGATACGAAAATCAGTCGTGCAAGCAGAACCAAAAAATACATTACTATTTGGTCAGTGGGTTAAATTAAAATGTTTTTGTAGTGAGACTTGAATTCAATCCAGTCAGTCACAACGTAGAACCTGGTACATCGTCTCAGGTTGCCAGAACCCATGAGTAAAGATAGACGAAATTGTCAGGACAAATCCCGAAATAGTAGAGGTATTAACAGTATCAGTGGTTAAAGAAATGGATGCACCTGTGGAATTGGCAACGATTTCTAGCCATGACTTTTGAAGCCTCTAACCATTGGCTACGATAATCACCCCGACCACAACGAGGTTGTCTACACCCATTAACATGGATTAGTCCAACTATCCATGACTACATGGATTGATGTTATATTTTTGGTTTGTCCGCCTCCACCTTTCTTCCGGCCTACTCCTACACCAGAATACATCACCAGTCGAGATAGTTGGACATACGTAACGCTTATCTCAGCTACCTCAATTGATGAAGATTAACTACTTCACCAATCAAATTCCCATGCTTACTTAATACCCTATTCTTCACCCACGCATTTCTTAATGTGAAAAAAGCCCGTTTTTATTTCGTCTATTCAGATATAAAGTTGTTCTTTCTGTGCTGTGTTCCGTTGTATTCTATATTTGAATATTACTATTCACTCAATATCTTTCATCATCTATGATAAATCAAATGAAGTAAGACTGAGGTAAATTGAAAATATCGAACAGAAAAAATGTTAATAATAATAACTTGAATGGAATTCATCATTGTATGTCAACTTCATTGACTACGAGAAAGCATTTGGTAGAGTAGACAGGACAGCACTATGGAGGCTTCTTCGACACTACGGCGTGCCTCAGAAGGTAGTCAATATCATACGGAATTCCTATGATGGATTAAACTGTAAAATCATACATGGATGAGAGCCCATAGACTCGTTCGAAGTAAAGACCGGTGTTAGGCAAGGTTGCTTACTCTCACCCTTTCTCTTTATCCTGGTGATCGACTCGACCATGAAGACATCAACATCTAGAAGGAAGCATGGGATACATGAGACAGCTAGGATGCAGCTGGACAACCTACACTTCACAGATGATCTGGATCTTCTATCGCACACGTAACAACAGATACAGGAAAAGACGGCCAGTGTAGCAGCAGCCTCACCAGCAATAGGTCTCAACATACACAAAGGGAAAAGCAAGATTCTCCGATACAACACAGCATGCAACAGTCGAATCACAATTGACGGGGAAGATTTGGAAGATGTAAAAGCCTTTACATATCTGGGCAGCATTATTGGTGAACACGGTGGATGTGATGTAGATGTGATGGCGCAGATCGAGAAAGCAAGAGCAGAATATCTACAACTGAAGGGCATCTGGAACTCGGAACAACTGTCAATCAACTCCAAGGATGGGATTTTCAATACGAATGTCAAGAGAGTTCTACTGTGTGAGACGGAAACTTGGAGAACTACGAACTCCGTCATCCAGAAGTTGCAAGTGTTTATTAACATTTGTCTATGTAAAATACTTCGAATCCGTTGGCCAGACACTATCATCACCAATCTACTGTGTGAGAGAACAGACCATATTCCAGTGGAGGGAGAAATCAGGAAGAATTGCTGGAAGTGGATAGGACACACATTGAGGAAATCACTGAACTGTGTCACAAGGCAATTCCTCAATTCAATTCCTCAATTTCAAATGAGAAGCGGAAGATCAAAGAACACATTACACCGAGAAATGGAGATAGACATGAGAAGAATGAACAATAACTAGATAGAACTGGAAAGGAAGGCCTAGGACAGAGTGGGTTGTAGAATGCTGATCGGCGGCCTATGCTCCATTTCGATTAACATTTATATGTATTCTTAGAAATAGATAAGTAATCTTTAGGTTCAACATTTACCAGTATCGAATTTTTGTTTATCTTCATCAGTTTCCGGTTGTAATCTTGCATTCATCCGTCGAATTTCTTGTCTATTTTGTTTTTCTTTTTCATATTGTGCTAATTTATTCATTGTATATTCATCATGATCTAAACGTGATTTAATACTCATGAATTGATAAGATTTAGTTATATTAATATTAGATAATGCAAATGTTTTAGAATGATCATATTTTTCATTTTCTGATGGACATTGTACCTAGAAATGAAGTAAATTTGTTAAGAATTCAAATTATAAAAACATGATAATGATCGGATGTGTTAATGGGATCATAAAAAATGGATTGTATCACTAAGATACGATGGTGAGACTATGAATTACGGATGAATCAATCAGATTTTAGGACAATTGGTTAGTTCGTAGTGAAAAGCTTTAAATCTAATTCTTAACCTATAACCATCAACTGTAAATCATGATCCTTATTCTTCACACTTGTTTATAACCTTCAGTTAGCCCTAGTAAGAAAGTGGACATTCTCAACGTCACATTAACGTTACTCAAAGGTCGTTCATAAATTATAGTCTCATCAAAAAATTTTATACTAATGAATGTTGACCTGAAATGACGATTTCTAAATTCTTTTTGATTGAGACCATGAATCGATTGATATTAGACCACTATTGAAAATCTGGAAGCACTGGCCAACCGTTTTGTCCTAGTATTGGACATTAACACCGTTGGATACATGCTCATTGGTCTAAAGTTTCAGTGTTCGCACGTGGGACCGAAAGTTCTGGTTTCGGAATCAGAGAGCAGGATTATGGATGAGGACTGCTCATGAGTTCCATACCAGGACGAAATGGCCTTTCAGTGCTTCCAGGTTTTTCATAGTGATCTAGCTTCAATTGACTCATGATCTCAACTATTAAAGTATAGATAAATTGTTTCTTCATTACTTTTTCTCAAAAATTACCTGCCTATTGTGTTCGTTCAAATGTTAAGTAAAAGGTAACTTCTGAGAACTATTCATGGACTAATGCTATACAACATATATTCTTATTGTATAACTATTCAGTAACTCGATTATGTATATCTATATTCTTCTCATTATATGTTTCCATTTGACCTACAGACTATTATGATACGATGTACTATTCTTAAATTATACTCAAACTCCGACTGGAGCCCCTCTGGGGCTACTGCCGGTCCCAGACACGGGTGAAGGAGGAGGGTTGGGCATGGGATTAGCGACCCCATCCTGTAGATAACTAACTCGCTAAAAAAACGCTAACCAGAAAAAGAACAAAGAAAATATTACACCGAGAAATAAAGACAGATATAAGAATGAACGAAAATTGGATGGAACAGCAAAAGAAGGCCCAGGACATAGTGGTTTGGAGAACGCCGATCAGCGGTCTATGCTCCATTGGGAGTAACAGGCGTAAATGAGTAAGTAAATAAATTATACTAAGTTTAATAATTACCGTCTCCGTCAATCACAGCCAATTTTATGGTTTGATCTAATATGAATGTTATTTCCTATTTCATGGTGTGATGTGATCTGTTCGGCTGGTATATAAACCAATTATGTTCGAAATACATGATTCGTTAATGGTTTTCTCTAGACCCAACTAGCAGGGGACCAACAAGCACGTTAGGCTGTTCATACCGATCGAATGTCATTGGTTTGGCACAGTAAAAAGATTGAATAAGACGTATCTTGATTGATCAACAAGTATCACATAATAACTAAGTTAAGTATATAATTCATAATTCAACTTACAGTTAATACACAACCATTTTCTAAATAAACAATAATTTCATTCATTTCTTTATTATTCATAGAGAACCATTCTAATCTTACGACTTTTCCATAAACATGAATAAAACCAATAGGTGATAAATGAGTAGTATGTACATTAAAAAAGAAAACAGTTTCATCTTTACTCTAAAGAGAAAAAGAGGGAAAAAACCAGATCAATAATAGTCAGTTAGAATTTTCAATATAATATAATGTCAAACACATTACTATCTACACATTTGAAACCATGAGTCGACTATCATTGAAAATCTGAAAGGATTAGATGGTCGTCTCGGTCTAGAATGGAGCTATTCAGCAGTATGTATCCACGATCTTGACGTTCAAATGCCTAAAAGCTTTCAATGGTGGTCTAGCTTAGATACACAAATCCCTAATCGGATAATAATCATGTGATTAGCTTCAGGATGTAACTCCTAGAGTTCCATTGAGAAGCCGTGACTAAGGTAGTCCAATCCGTGCCGGGTATGAGACGAATATATATATCGCAGTCAATGAGTGAAGGGTTGTAAAAGATCGTGGATTGATTGAAGCTAGATACTGATGCCATTGGATGCCGTCATAGTGGTATAGAGATTTGGAGTTCGCGCACGGAACTTGAGTTCCTTAGTTTGAGGACGAAGTGGCCATCCAGTGCTGCCAAGCTTTCGATCAATTTCAAAACTGATGACTATAAAATAAAATGTTTTCCTCAAAAATTTTGATTATTTGTCTCGTGTTGTAAAATTTATTTTACGTGTACATTTGTATTCACTGTCAAGTTATTTATTCATGAAGATTTAGACTTCAACAATTTGGTAGAATATAAAAACCATACCCTCAAATGCCCTAGTGCGGCTGACACTGAGGAGAGGCGGCTCTCTCTCTCGAAATGCTCCCAAATGGCCACGTGCATACAACCACTGACTTCTTATGATGGGAGTGTTGTTTCCGAAATTTAAAGGACGAAAAGCGAATGTTCTTCGTGTATACGGAGGATCCACTTAGGGGATTTGGAAAACCCTAATTCCAAGCCAGTGGTGCACATGGGCTCCAGGATGGTGAGGGAACAAATGGCGTATGAACCAATTATCAGTCGCTGGCTACCATGGGACTGCATCTTGTGACGTTGCTCCACTGCCTTGTGGATCAGACCTTTATGTCACAGCCCCACAAGGAAACCACCTGGGCAGTATCACAGCCCTCACACAAATCAAGTAACTTGTGTGGAGCACATCCATTTGCCGCATCCTTGTATCAATGTTTGTGTTTAAATAAATAAATAATAAAAACCATACGTTCAATACGTTCATTTTCAAATGATCCATCAATTGTCTCAAACTTCATTGTTCTTTCATTTCTATAACAATTACTCACTATTCACATTCTCTTCGATTTGTTCTTCTCAACCTTTCTGATTGATGTGTTATATACTACTTATGTCGATATAAGTAGCATACACCACATATTTATACATTTAAACACATTTTTCTTTTTCTATTCTCTTTATAATTCAGTTGGAATTTCCATAAAACATTCTACTGTTAAGTATATACATGTTAGGACCCCAGGGACATAACGAATGGTACCTTTTCGGGTCCACTTATGAACCAATACTATGTGTTTATTTTTATCGTATAATTGTTAAATAACTAACCTATTCATATTCATATCCCTCTT